CATCCCTCTGGGACGTCGTCGTCATCCCTTTGATTCGCAGCGCCAGCCGGCGGATAGGGACAGGGCCCTCGCTTGGTCCGTCTCATGTGGCCGCTCCTTGTCCGGTCTCTTTTGGCAGTCGGTGGTCTACGGATACTACTGGCAAGGCATAGCATAATCTGACCTGACCTCAGCTACTACGGATTCGGATACGGATACCTTACTCAGAAGATCAGAGTGCGTGGCCTGGCCCTGCCCTTGTCGTGGAAGCCGAGTCGTCCCCAGAATAGAAGCAGAGCAGAAGCTTCTGTTGCTCTTCGGTTTACCCCTGAGTTCCGTTCTCTCTCGTCACTCGAACATGGGGTTCTCGTCTCCTTCCGTGAAACCGCGGCAAACGGGACGGGGACGACGACAAGACACTGCATTCCAGTCAACGGTCCGTCCGGTATGTTGCCCCACCGGGTGCAATTGCGCTTCTCATGCTGGCAGCGCCCCGGGCTTGTCTATGCAAAAGACGGCGTCGTCGTGATGTGCTTGATTGTGGATCGATGTCGAACGGCATGTCTAGCTAGGTCAGGGACTCAAGGCAGCTACAGCTACCTTCCTTTAGACATCGATCACTAGCGGAGACCCCCAAGGTAAGGGCATGAGGTACGGAATCCACTGGCCTGCATTTCGCATTTCCACAACAGCTCGCCCTGTGAAGAAACGGGCGAAGCGCGGGGGCGGTCTGCGGTGCCAGGAAGCCAGAAGCCCACCACGGATGCATTCCGTTGCAGCTCGAGGTGGAATCAGTGGGATCTCGTGCTGCGAGTAAGTGGGAGAGGATGCTCAATGGTCGCCCGCTGGAGGCTGGACGGACGCAAGGACGGTGCTGCGCAGAGTCTCCATATCGTCCACCGTCTTCAGTGTTCCCGCCCGAGTGAGGCGGACAGATGCAACCACCCCCACCGTTGTCGCCCTGTCTCCAACGATTGGTCGACCACGAATTGGCTATCATCCGAAGTACAGCCAATCAGACGCGTCTTTTGTCTGGGTTTTGGATTCATTGGGCCACTCGACACCACCGACTGCTGCTGAATGACCGTCGTTCCCCTGGGATACCGCCTGTCACTGGGAAAGAGCCGGGGTGCGCCTAGCAACAACATGTCGAGCTGCCCAACTGCGATGCACTCCAACGTCTCCACGACAAAGACGGACCAGAGAAAAAAAAAATCCCACTGCGAAAAGTTTCGTTCGATTCCCACTTTGTTTGCATAGACTTTTTTGCAGTGTAGCCCGCGCAGCTTCACGACTTTTCGCAACTCAACCTCGTCGCTAGCCGTGTCTTTGGCAACCGATAATTCGTCGCGCATTCTCCAGACGAGCGCAATCTCATCCGCCCAGTCCAAACATCCTCAGCACGGCCAATCTTGGACAGCTTTAGGCCGGTTTTGACGCCATTGCCCCTCGATTCACCACGCCACCAGCTCCTCCAGCCAGCTCTCGCTCACTCGTCGCAACCGCAAACTTTCAGTGCTGAGCTCACCTCGCTCAAAATACAACATCGCCCAGCTCGGATTCCCGCTCTCCAGTCCAGGAATCTCAGTCTCCAGTCTTTCACCCGTCGTCACCTGCAGCTGGTCACCTTTTTTCTGGGGGCAGAGATTGCGCGCGTTCCTCAGCTGCGTCTCTCTCTCTACCACATCCAACACACCTGAAGCGCGAAACAAATTCTCACCCCTCCATTCCCCTCCCCCCCTGCGGACGTCGCCCCCTTGGACCCCTCCAAATAAGGGATTCCAACTTTGGAGATCGCCGGCACAGCTACGTCTTTGAGACGCGAAACCAACACGGAGGAAGCCCCTGACATCTCGAGTTGGATTGAACTCTGAGTTCCTTTGCGCCTGCTCCCCCCGAGCCACCCGCCGTCTCGCCATTTCTCTCATCCTCTCGCCATCCTTCTGTCTACTGCCGCCGACAAACACACACTTACTTCATAACATACAATCAACATCCAACAGCAACAGCAACAACATTCCCCTCGCTCCACGCCCGGGCCTGTCTCCAACATCCGTCCCGCTAGTTCTCACACACACACCCGCTACCGACTGCCAAAGTCTCAGCTACGCTTCCCAAAGCTCCAAAACACTCAGTGTCGTCCCCGAGTCTGCCCTTGTTCGTCTCGTACAAGGCACGTCCCGGCTTGCATTGCAGTCCACTTCTTGACGATCCCCCAAGCCCGCCAGCCCGGCCAGTCAGGCGCCGCCCTGAATCTGCACTCTGCAAATCCGCCTGCCGACAGATACACCACGGTCATTCCGTCGCCTCCCCAAACCGCCTTTCATTCTCTTCCGTTAAATACCGCGACCCAGTCAAAACCGTTCTCAGCCCAACGTCCCGCGCCCAATAGAAGCCCATTGTAAGGACAACACATCATCGTACAGCGTCGCTCCCTTCATCATGGTGTCCTTCTCTTGTGAGGTAAGCCCGCCCGTCGCCCTCTTTTCTTCCTCTTCGTCCTCTTCCCCCTCCATCCCAAGGGTCCCTTTACTTCTGCGTACGACCCCCCCGTCGGTACCCCCCCCCCCGAGGATCCCCATGTCGTCTTATTATAACCTCTTGACCTGACATCACATCCTCACACCACACACCTTCCACACAAGCAAGACACAAGACACACACCCCTCCAGCAACGGAAACAAACACCCCTCCACTTCCCCTTGGATGCTCTTTAATAGTCACTGTCTCGTCCCGTCCCTCCTTCGCCTCCCCGACCATACACCCCTCTTCATCCCCCAAGAATCCAATTATCTTGCTCTAGCAACTCCTGCGCAACATCACTGACCTGTCGCCTCGCTCAACCACAGAACTGTGGTGATGTCTTGACGAAGAAGAAGCTCGACCCGCACAGAAACCGTTGTCGAGGCGCCACTTACACTTGCATCGATTGCATGGTCTACTTCCCCGGCACCGAATATCGTTCTCATACCGTAAGTCCCACCAGTTCCTCCTCGAGCCGCCAACGGGCGCCGTCTCCAAGGCTAAGGTAGTCATGTGCTAACCCAACGCCAGAGTTGCATGAGCGAAGCCCAAAAGTATCAAGGCGCCCTCTACAAGGAGAAGAACAACAACAACAACAATAAGAAGCAGAACAATAGAAACAACATCCAGCCGCAAAACGTACCCCTTCCCGACGACAACATGGCTCATGTAGCATACGTTGAGGACGTCCCCGAGGACGTCTTCGAGACCTACGAATACCAGGGCGGGGGCAGCGATGATGGCGCCTCCCCGGCCAACCTGCCCGAAGCACCTACACCCCCCTCCGCCCCCAACGTCTTTGACTTCCTCGAAGCAGCAACACCCACCGCCTCAACGCTCCAGCTCGGCCAGAAGGAAGTCAACGAAGAGACACAACTGGTTCGCTATGAAGCGAGCACCTTCCTGGACGAGGACGGCGCCATGGTCGACGAGGACCCCCAGGCCATGGTCCAATACGGCGCCGGCTCCATTCCCCTTGACCCTTACGAGACACCCGCCCCCAAGCACGAGAGGAGGAGGAAGGACGGCAGCGAGAAGAAGGACAAGAAGCGCAAGCGTCTTCACGTCGATACCGACCAGATGATGATCGACGCCCCGCCCAGTCTCCAGCACTCGGGCCTCACCGGCGGCATCAAGACCATGATGCGTCCCGTCTTCCCTCCGTCGCCCGACTTCTCCGGCGGCGACGCAGACCCGTCCCCTCTCAGCCCGCTGAAGAAGACGAAGCACTCCAAGCACAAGAAGTCCTCCGAGGGCGGCATCGGCAACAACATCCTCGGCCTCCTCAACATGAACACCAGCAGCAAGACCAAGGCCAAGAAGCGCAAGGTCTCGTCCTCGTCCAAGAAGCACTCCTCGCACCGCCACCGCGACGGCGAGAAGGCCCCCAAGCTCATCGAGTACCGCCCCGGCTCCCGCGACAGCAAGAAGGACGGCGACGGCGACGACAACCAGATGGTCGTCTTCCGCCCCCGCGCCGACGTCTTCCTGTCCCTCGTCAACAAGGGCCCCGAGAGCGAGCGCGGCTGCAGCATGAACAAGGCCCTGAAGCGCTTCCACCGCGAGCGCTCCTCCTCCGGTGACAGCCTCAGTAAGCTCATGGAGGAGAAGGAGCTGTGGCGCTCCCTGCGCATGAGGCGCAACGAGCGTGGAGAGATTGTACTCTTCACTGCCTGAGCAGTCTTCGCTGCTTGAGTTAAATCTCCAACCCCCCAACACCCTTTTGTAACCAACGGATAACCGGGCTGGGGAACTCATAAAGGATACGGAGTTTAAGCGTTTGATGTTTTTTTCTACTGTTTTTATTGGAACGCACAATGGCACATGATACCTACACGATGGAATAGAGAGCCATCGAGCCCTGGAATGGGCAAACGGGCCCTCCTCAAGGGGAGAAAGGGCGGACCGTTGGGTGGGGATGGGAAGGTGTTCGGATCACTTGTCTTGGTCGACAAACAGTATCACTTTTTATTTTCTCTCCTCTTTTTTGACACTGGCGCCCCTGTTCATCGTATTCAATGGTCGGCATCGCTCCCAGGAAGCTGGTCTTCAAAGCTTACAACCGACGAGTCATCTGATCCATTGATATGAAGCGCGGCGGCGACACAGTGTCTAGGGGGATGTTTCTTCACACTTTTTCAAACTCTTCTGTGTATTGAGTAGGAAGGTCGACCAACACGTTTTCTGTCTCTCGTTACATTTCTCTGAGCATCTTGTTGATTTGACAATTGTGACGGGAGTGTGCTAATACCTTTTGTATCATCTCATGAGTGTACCTCTATTCTGTGGTATATAATTCATTTCGTACAAACTCTTTGCCCTTGGATGCCTTTGAATTCATGTAAACTCCAGTCCTGCATACACTCAGGATCAAGAATCACCACCGCTGGTCTTTACCACCAAGCTCTCGGATCATTGTAATAATAATAGTGTAAATGTACAAAAGTAAACTCCGCATCGCCTCACCGGGCAGCTGAACGCAAACACCCCCTTTCCCATCACGCAAGCCTCAGGGGCAGGATATGCTGCACCATCGCCTCCCGCCTACAGAGGGGACACTCAGGCTTCTCCCGCACCCAGTCCCCAATACACGTCCAGCAAAACACATGCCCGCACTGCGTCGCAGACGGGTCCTTCAGCTCCTCCAGACACAGCGTGCACTTCCGCTGCGCCGCGCCCGCAATGTACCCCATCACCTTCTCGTCGCTCAGATCATACCTCGCCTCTTCCGCTGCCACCACAGGCGTGTGCGTGACCGCGGCAATATCAACCTTCGCCCCGCCGGCCCCGTTCCCGCCGGGCGTGCCCGTCTCGGAGAGCAGCACGGCCGTGTTAGCCGCGTAGGCGTTCGCGTCGAGCGACACATCCACATGCCCTGCGGCCAGGGCACGCTCGCGGGCGGCGCGGGAGGTGGAGAAGTCGGAGATCGTGGCGCGGATGTGCAGGTAGGACTGGACGGCGAGCTGGGCGACGAGCAGCACGCCGAGGACCTCGTAGCCGGCGCGGTCGGGGGAGTCGGGCACCTTGCGGGTGAAGACGTAGCGGAAGCCGAGGAGGCGCTTGGCGAGCTCGTAGTAGGTGCCGGTGAAGTAGAAGACGGCGAGGGTGGCGGCGTGGAGGGGCGCCGCGGAGGTGAGGCTGGGGAGGTTGGCGAGGATGTAGGCGGCGAGCTTTTGGCGGGTCGTGCCTGGTGGCTGCTGGCCCTTCGGGAGGGAGGACTGTAACGCGGCGCGGATGCGGGCGCGCACGGAGGGGAGGAGGCGGCCGAGGGCGTAGGGGAGGAGGACGGACGTGGCGATGTAGGAGGCGCGGCGGGGGAGGGCGGGCAGCTCGGCGGCGGAGGGGTTGCTGGGGGGCACGTGGAGCTGGACGAGGTCGCAGTACTCCTCGCCGAGGGTGCGGTTGCCGGGCAGGGTGGTGAGGGCGAGGTAGAGGGTGTCGGCGAGGAGGCGGTGGAGGGAGGTTGCGGAGTGGGCGGAGCGGGCGCCGAGGAGCAGGCGGTGGAGGGAGGTGAGGGTGTTGGAGAGGTGGCCTTTGTAGTAGGCGTCTTTCTGGTGGGCGCGGATGATGTCGGGGGCGGAAGCGTAGGGGTATGGTGAGGAGGGGAGCGTCGGGTGTTGTGGTTGTTCGGGGGAGGACGACATTGTTAATGGCGGCTGCGCATTGCGCGCGCGCGAGGCAGGGCGCGGGTTTGTTGTTTGTCGAGTTGTGGTGTTTTCGGCTTCGATGGTCTGGTGTTCTTGGTAAGGAGGTATGGCACGGCGTCGGGGAGTTGAATTGATTGAGAGTTAGGTCGTGATGGGGGTATCGTGGACGTGATGGTGTTGAGTTGCGCAGTGTGGTTTTTGGTGGTTGGATTTGAGCCGAGGCGCTGCGACAGCTGCCGGGGCTCGCTGGAGCTCGGCCGGCAATTGTCAGCATGTGTGGTGCATGGCCCGGCCCTTGATGGCGGGGATTGATCCTGACAGGGATTAGGACTACCACTTACAAGTCGTGGAATGTCACCCAAAATGTTTGTTTGACGGTGGGATGAACACGCGGTTCAATATGTGTCATTGAATAATTAGATGCAGGACTCCTGTTCGCAATTGCCAAAATCGCGCATGCCCTTCTGACTTCGCCGGAGGCAGCAGTTCATACGGGTGATAGCTCGTAGATGTTAGCGTTTGAGCGGAGGAACGCGCATAGGCACTAACATGCGATACCGGGGGTGAGGGGTTTGATAAGATGCGCCGCTGAGTCTTTGAAGCCAACTGACCCGTAATGCCGAAACTGCTCCGTCAAGCTCTCCGGTTCAGAACGTTTGGTGTTTGAGCTTGAGAGAACAAATACAAATTCTCCCTCCGTTCCAACGGCGCAGCCGACTCTCAAGTTTACTTCAAGTCATTGAGGCGCTCGACTTTCTGGTTTTGGATGAGTCATCTGCTCTCAAGGCAGTGTACGTAACTTCCTCAATTGAGGGGCATCCGCGACGAGACTGCAACTCTTCAGGCAAGTCATTCCACAAACACTTTCGAATATCAGACAACTAATTGAAACAAAGACTTGAACAAAGATCATCAACATGGGTCACCTTGTCACGGTAGCGACATGTTCGCTCAACCAGTGGGCTCTGGACGTGAGTCTCTACCCCTCATCACGAGTTGTCGACAATGCTAACTCTGCAACTCTAGTGGGAAGGCAACACTGCTCGCATTATTGAGAGTATCCAAAAGGCCAAGGCCGCCGGAGCCCGACTTCGTGTCGGTCCTGTGAGTCACTCATCTCTCAGCTTACCCAACGACTCCTTCAGTCTTCGGAAACTATATGCGAAGTTTCAGTCAACTAATTTCAACCCAGGAACTCGAAATCTGCGGCTATGGCTGCCTCGACCACCTCCTCGAGCAGGACCTCTACCTGCACTGCTTTGAGATGCTCCGCCGCATCCTCCTGGACGAGTCCTGCCACGACATCCTCCTCGACATCGGCATGCCCGTCCAGCACCGCAACCAGCGCTTCAACTGCCGCGTCCTCTGCCTCAACGGCAAGATCCTCATGATCCGCCCCAAGATGTGGCTCGCCAACGACGGCAACTACCGCGAGATGCGCCACTTCACCCCGTGGATGCACCCGCGCGCGACGGAGCAGTACCACCTGCCGCGCATCCTGCAGGACATCCAGGGCGCCACGCACGTCGTCTTCGGCGACGCCGTCGTCTCGACCCCCGACACCTGCTTCGGCGCCGAGACCTGCGAGGAGCTCTTCACCCCCAACGCCCCGCACATCGCCATGTCCCTCGACGGCGTCGAGATCATCACCAACTCCAGCGGCTCGCACTTCACCCTGCAGAAGCTCGACACCCGCCTGCAGCTCATCATGGAGGCCACGCGCAAGAACGGCGGCATCTACCTGTATGCCAACCAGCAGGGCTGCGACGGTGACAGGCTGTACTACGACGGCTCGGCCATGATTCTGGTCAACGGCGAGGTTGTGGCGCAGGGATCGCAGTTCAGCTTGAACGATGTCGAGGTCGTCACTGCGACGGTGGATTTGGAGGAGGTGCGGGCTTACCGCTCTACCATCTCTCGCGGTCTGCAGGCTGCGCGGTCTGATGCCAAGTACGAGAGGATCCAGACGTTTTTCGAGCTGAGCTCCGAGGACGACGATGCGGATGTTGAGAAGCGCCCTTCACCTCCTATTAAGCCCAAGTTCTATTCTGTTGAGGAGGAGATTGCGCAGTGTGCTGGATGCTATCTTTGGGATGTAAGGTTACTGGCGTCTCTTGCCTGTGCGAAGCTGACAACTCTCAGTACCTCCGTCGGTCTGGAACAGCAGGATATCTCGTTCCACTCAGTGGTGGCATCGACTCCTGCGCAACCGCAAGTCCGTCTCCTTCGCACCTTGTCCCAACACCAACTGACCCATTGTAGCAATCGTATTTTCCATGTGCCGCATCGTAATGAAGGCTGTCGAAGAGGGCAATGCCCAGGTAATCGAAGACGTAAAGCGCATCGCCAAGTACGAAGGCGATGGTGTTCTCCCCAAGACGCCACAGGCCCTCTGCAACCAGGTCTTCTCAACCATCTACATGGGCATGAGGGAACAGAGCTCCGCCGAGACCCGCGGACGTGCAAAGGACCTCGCCGAGGCCATTGGTAGCTACCATATCAACCTCGACATCGACGAGATCTACCAGGCGCAGAAGAACCTCCTCAAAGCCACAAACAACTTCGAGCCCAAGTTCAAGGTCGAGGGCGGCACCGTCCAGGAGAACCTGATGTTGCAGTGCCTCCAGGCGAGAATTCGTATGGTGACGGCGTACGAGTACGGACAGATTCTGCCCACTGCCAGAGGCCGCCCTGGTGGTGGTGGCTTGCTCGTTTTGGGCAGTGCAAACGTTGGCGAGTCTTTGAGAGGATACTTCACCAAGTAAGCGATTCAGAAAACGTAAGCACTGACGTTGGTGTACTGACATTAGCATAGATATGATTGCTCCAGTAAGAACGCCTATCCTTGAGCCTCTCAGAGAGGCTTTGGGCACTAACCCGCGCAAATGGCTGAATACGCGGGTCCCGCCCCTGACAAGGACACACACTGACACACACCCTTACAGGCGCCGACATCAACCCCATCGGGTCCATCGACAAGTCCGACCTCAAGCGCTTCATCGCCTGGGCCGAGAAGGACTTTGGCATCCCGTGTCTCCACGACTTCCTCACGGCGGTCCCGACTGCGGAGCTTGTAAGTTCCAATCTTTCCTCCCACTTCCCTCACACCGAGGCTGCCTCCCCCCATACCCGTACAGAGGAGGAGTTTCCACTCACGCGTACCCCCATAGGAACCCATCTCGGAGACGTACGTCCAGAGCGATGAGGTCGACATGGGCATGACATACCCGGAGCTCACCATCATGGGCCGCCTCCGCAAGGTCAACAAGCTGGGCCCCTACGGCATGTTCCAGCGCCTCGTCCACGACTGGGACGAACATCGCGAGCGTGCACCCGATGATGAGGCACCGCTTTACAACCCGAGACAGACGGCCGAGAAGGTCAAGAAGTTCTTCCACTTTTACGCAATCAACCGTGAGTCTCGTCCGCACATTTCATAACGACAAGAGAAGTGACTAATGACGACGGGAACAGGACACAAGATGACGACGCTCACTCCATCCTTACACTGCAACGACTACTGTAAGTCCTCTTTGTACCGTCCAATCGGGTCGATGACGTTTCCGCTGACTTTCCAACCCCCAAAAATAGCCCCCGACGACAACAGATTTGACCTCCGCCCGTTCCTCTACCCTCCCTTCTGGAAGAGCTGGAGTTTCAAGAAGATTGACATGGAGTTGGAGAAGATTGAGAAGAGGCAGGCCAAGAAGAAGGCGGCGGCGACGGCGTAAGGGTATAGACTAAGCCCGCGGGTCCCACTTCCCGCATAGAAGTTCGGACTGTACATAGAGTGGAACTCTCTCAACTCTGTGATTGCTCCGTAGAGGTTGTAGTAGATCGGTACTCTAATAAGACCCGAATACCGAAAAGAATTCGGCCCCGAACCGCGGCACAGTGCCTTGATGATAGAGGTGGCTTCCTCCAATTGTCCCTTTCTAGAACGCGCGTAAGGGGAGGCTGCAATTAGTCTAAGTCGACGTTGATCTCAACTTTACACTCCCACATCCCGTTTTACCCAACCATTCCTTGTCGTCAGTTTACCCCAGTTTTGAGGCTGTAGTGTGCTGTCGTGTAGTGTATGTAAAAGTGACCGGGATGTAGGGCGCGGGAAGTAAGGGGTGTAAAAAAGCTTACGACTTCAGATCCAACGTCGATCTAAGGATGAGCAGAAAAAAACTCCCCGTGAGCCAATCATCGCGCGCACAATGTAAGCCTGTAATGGCACGGATTCCGCGGGGTGGCCAGGATCGATATTAAACACCAGAAAAACCCACGATCTGATGAGAATTTGCGGCGTGGTGGTTGGCTCGCATTTGCCCCAGATTCGCTTCGTGGCAGTGTAATCTGGGGCAAATGCGAACCAACCACAATCGACTCGTTTGACGTTTTCGGGACATTGTTGACGACGTGAATGCCTCTTTTGACGGTATTCATAGGATATCAAAAGCTTTAGCTTCGACTGCCAAGACTTTCAAGATCCACGGGAAGGTGTTTGCTTGTTTCTCGATGTGGCGTTCGTCCGGATGGTCAATCCACTTGACGAGAAAGAATGGATGAACCTCTGGGATTCTAGAGCATGACGGGACGCAGTCGGTGACGACGACGGGTGACGCATAGCGGGATGAAGACGTCAAGCGAAGGGGCGCTGCAATTTTTTTCCCTTTCGTGACGGAGGCGAGGAAAGGGGTGGATGGATTAGAAGAGCGGAGGCTCCGATGATGAAGATGCAAAGCGCCAAAAGAATCACTTATAAGAAGATGATGATTCCAGCCTCGAAAGGAATCTTGAAAGGAGATATCACCAAGCCAGCCTGGATCAACAAGACTTCAGCCTAGCAAGCACTCTCATTCAACAGAACAATCTCCCACAATCTTTACAAAAAACACCAAGAAACAACATCTTCACCACTCTTTCCACCAAGATGCACTCCTCCGTCCTCCTCCTCCTGACTTCGGTCATGCTCGGCGCCGCCCACCCGGGCCACCACGAGGAGCCCCACCCGGCGCTCCTCGCCGCCCGCCACGAGCACCACGGCCTCGCCCGCCGCGGCCTCGAGAACTGCGTCAACACCAAGGCCTACCGCGACCTCCAGGCCCGCGCCATGGTCCGCCGCGCCCAGACGATCGATTACCACCGCGCCATCCGCAAGGCCAAGCGCGACGTCGACTCCGCCGGCACCGGCCACAACCAGACCTCGCTCCACGTCGGCATCGACACGTCCACCCCGTCCACCGACATCTTCGGCTCCAACCACACCTGCATCCTCAACCCGGAGGGCGAGATCGGCCCCTTCTGGGTCAAGGGCGAGCACATCCGCTCCGACCTCCGCGACGGCGAGCCCGGCGTCGACGTCGTCCTCGACGGCCAGTTCATCGACGTCGAGACCTGCGAGCCCATCACCGACCTCTACTGGGACCTGTGGAACTGCAACGCCACCGGCATCTACTCGGGCGTCCAGGAGAGCTCCAACGGCAACGGCGACGACGCCTCCAACCTCAACAAGACGGCCCTCCGCGGCGTCCAGAAGACCGACAACGACGGCGTCGTCCAGTTCACCACCATCTTCCCGGGCCACTACTCCGGCCGCGCCACCCACCACCACATGGTCGCCTTCCTCGACGCCACCGTCCTGCCCAACAACACCCTCTCCTCCACCCACGCCGCCCACATCGGCCAGCTCTTCTGGGACCAGGACCTCGTCGAGGCCGTCGAGGCCCTCGCCCCCTACAACACCAACACCGTCGACATCACCCTCAACAGCGACGACCACGTCGTCGGCGACGAGCTCGGCAGCAACGCCGACTCCGACCCCTTCTTCCAGTACGCCTACCTCGGTGATGACGTTGCTGAGGGCATCTTCGGCTGGATCACCATCGGCATCAACCGCACCGCCAGCTACGACACCAGCTACAGCTTCGAGTACACTTCTTCCGGCGGCGTCGCCGTTGAGAACTCCGGCTCCGGCGGTGTCGGCGGCGATGCCCCCAGCGGCACCGGTTTCCCTAGCGGCTCCGGAGCTCCTCCTGCTGCTACCTCCACTTCTGCTTAAAAAGGGGCTTGGTGTGAGTGTGGTGTAAGGGTGCTCTGGTGATGGAGCTCAGCACGAATGCGTCGGTATTACAGGCGTATGTGCATGAGATATGAGGACTTATCAACCACCGCGCGTCGGCTTCGGACGTGCTTTCGGTTGCATATTTTACAGGATTGAAAAGCCATTATGCGTCGGCGCGGACGTATTTGGCTTCATGATGATCAAGATACCCAAACCCTGTTTCTTTCAAGCGTTTCCTTACTCCTATTTTCTTATGTATAGAGATATTTCAATACAAAATCCTGCTAGGGAATTTTCCATAAATTACTGGCCTTGGACATGTGTTTGTAATCTCCGTCGCCTTCGAATGTTTTAGTATGTCAAAGTGCGAGGCCATTTCAGTTTAATCGCGAACGCCTCTTGCTGAGAGCTGAGGAATGTCAATTGAAGGGGATATCATGCTGACTTCGTGATATGACGGCTGGACCTAGACGGGAGCTAAGGTATGGAGGGTAGGATTAATGTATCAACATCAAGTAAGCAGACAGCATGAGCCGCAGTCTGACATCATCAGCTCCCTCTTTGGAAGTCTCGTATTTTATGCTTGGCTTGGCGTTCTACTACTCAGTTATCGATTTGTACAAAAGAAGACAAAAGTCTCTAATATTCGTCCGGGGCTAACTTCGGAAACAGTATCTCACCTCCACCGTTGGGCCCACAATGTCGCAGCCTTCTCTGGCTCAAGTTGTGCGAAGAGTCGCTCGGGAATACGGATTGCAGACGAGAAACAAAGCACGCAGCATGGGTGAAGCTCCAGACTTACAAACATTTTGGTACGAGGCGGAACTGGAACAGCTGCGATGCCTCGTGTGTGGCGAGTCTTTCCTCCAAGATGCCATTGTACGGACCTTCAAAGTGTCGGCGATCATCAGTGACCGAGACCTATCTCCGCGATGCAGCAGAGTCGTCGAATCGCATCTCGGAATGAACATATTGCTGTTCGATAGGCACCTTCACTGTCTCCTGGACGCAGGTATTCCCATGATCACTGTGTCTCACGTCTGGGACCCCCAGATCTCGGCCATTCAGCAGCAACACCGCTTTTCACCCCAGGCCCTACATGTCAGACACCTCGCAATCGAGAGCCCGGTCAGGATTTTCCTCACCGTTGAGAGAGACCCTCAGTTCCCGCCAGACTCAGAGCTTTGGCACGACTATTTCAGCGTTCCCCAATGGACGGACCAGCTGAAAAGTCGAATCCTCCTGACCATTCACAGAATCTTTGAAGAGGCCCAAACTACCATCATCCACTTCGACGGTCTCACACCGGCAGTCGTCGACAAGCTACATCGCGGAAGGACCTCTCACGAACGTCTGAGCGGCCTGACTGGCGTGTGCAATGAGAAGTGGTTCACGCGCATGTGGACCGCCATGGAGTTCGTGCGGAGTCGGTCAGTCCGGATGATGACGGGCGACTTCCAGCTTGTGCAAGGCGACGACGGGACTGACCCAGCGTTTCTCGGAACACTTCAGCAGGTCTGGGGGAGAGAGGTCGAGGCTCACGGCGGCGACGTGTGGGGCTTGGAGGACAGCGTCGGGATGCGAACGTCAGAAAACCTGGTACCGTGGAACCTGGGGCCGTTACAGCAAGTGAGATCTCTCCATCGAACAAACTTCGCAATGGCATTCGCCCTCTTGTCGAAACGGGGATGTCGTGACGAGATGGACTTCTTGCATGGCCTCCGCGGCATTACCCAGAGTGATTACGAAGAGCCCCCGGAGCCAACCTTCCGCCGGGGGTATCTTCATGTCGCTTGGCTTTGCCTCCTCGCGGGAGACTATAGCCCCCTATTCATGACGCCAAATCTCCCCATGTCCGAGCCACCTCAGGAGGCAAACATGTTTACGTGCTACAATGACGTGTGGACGTGGGGGATGGGTGAGGTCATCTCACCTCCGGACCATATACCCGAGGTTGCTACTGACGGCTCCCATGAGGATGCCATCCGCGCCAGGCTCCAGCCCATTGGAACCGTCAGCATGCTTTCTGAATCACCATGGTACTCTCCGCTCGACCATTTCGCTGCCTGCGCTGAGATGACCCTGGCGCAGACGGGCCCCGATCTGCACGACTTCGTGGCCACGCTCGGGACCAGACTGTTCGGCGAAGACACTAACAGCGTCATGAAGCACATCGAAGACCAAGGCACCGCTCGAGACCTTGAGAACATGCTCATGACCCAATACAATCGCAGCGAATGGCGTCCAGAATGGCGGGTGGAGACCCTCGGCCTCGGAGGAACAGACGCAATCATGTGGCTCGCCGACGTTCTTCACCTCACTGGCATCGTAGACGGAGTGGTGCAGAACCGGCTCGGACTCATGTTCGCGCATGCCGGCACGGTCCACAACAAGCCACACTCAAAGATTGTGTCTGTTACGTGCACAGGTTGCCACAAGACGTCTCTGTTCCGCGCGGGACTCTTCGCACCCGCGAATGAGGTTCGGCTTGCGCGAGCGTGGAGGATCCCTGGATTGCAGTACCAGATGGCACTCAAAGGCGGGATGGCGGTGCTCGAGAAGGACGGCCGTGTTCTGGGGAGGATGATTTGGGCTACGCCTGCGTGTAAGTGCGTGGAAACGGAGATGGTGGAGTTGAGGATGCCAGACTTGCCAAACCCACAACCTTACAACTCTGGTAAGAGATCTCAGTCATGCTGATGAAGCGGTCGTTACCATGGCACTTTCTCGGGAGATTGAAAAAGTAAGTATTCCTGGACGAAGACCTCAGACACCACTTTCGAACTGTGCTCTTCGCAAGCCAACAAAGAGTTTGTGAACAACCTGATGGATCAGACATGCCCATTTATAATCTCATCATCTTTCCGTCATCGCTTGTTTATTGAGAAGCGGAACACGTGAATGCGTAATGTGAGGTGTCAATCAATGTGCTCTTGGCACCGTGTGGTAGGACTGAATATCTCTAACAGGTATTGGGGAACCAGCTTTCACATAGCCCCCTTTCAGAAGATTTAGGGGATGAAAGTGAGGTTTCATACCGCTTGAGTATCACGACCACGTCCAATAAATCTCTCTTGTGGAACTATTCTCTCCACATGAACAGCATTTTGTGAGTTTGACATTGCTCGTTTTCTCTATTCCGGGCTATCATCAAGGGCAACTTTCAGCATCCCTGACTTTTCATAGAGAGTGAATACTTCTCACCAATCGCTTGTGTCTGAGGCGTGGAGCTGACAGGGAACAGCACGACTTGGCTTGAAAGGACTGGCCGAGTGACTCATTCGTAACCTTCCGGCGCTGCGGCGGTGCCCCACTCCGAGCGCCCGGGCCCGAAGCACGGTGCAAGACTCGGGGCCCGGATTTCACGGGACCCCGGGAGCAGAAGAAAGCATCACATATACTGTCGAGATCAACACAGAGTCGCTTAGCTGAGTATATATGCATTGAGGATTTCTAACCTCAATTTCGAAACCATCAGTAATAGCCGCTTGAGACTCTATTTCGGTTTGCCTGGCTACACGACCCGGTCTTGCGGCTTTTTAACTCCATCTCTCATTGCAACAGACCATTCATTGTTGTGCCTTCAAGTGCTCTCGTTCGAACCTATCAATGGCAATGGAATTGAACAAAGAGAAGATCACGAGCTTCCTGCTCACCCTGGGACTGACGCAGGAGCAGATATCGCAGATCCATCAGAATGTCGAAGCCAGCCAGAATTACACGGAAGAGCTGCTATGCGCTCTGTACCCAGCGAACGTGTTTTTACCTGAGAGCGCCGATTACTCTTCCTGGATCAACAAATATTTGTATGTCTGGTGCGGTCACTATTAGTGACGTCCGTCTTATCCAAACTTCCTCCAATACTTTGCTAACTCCCAACAGCGGCTCCCGACCGCGCCTGAATGCAGCCGCAGTCTTCACCCCGGAGAGCACGGAGCAAGTGGCATCCTGTGTGAAGATCTTGGAGTTCTTCCAGAGGAAGTTTGCCATCCGCGGGCTCGGATTCACCACTCATCCTGGAATGGCTGGCATTGAGGACGGTATTCTTATTGCCTTGGAGAAGATGAACGACTTCTCACTCAACTCGTCTGGTGAAGTAGTAAGTCTAGGTCCTGGCAACCACTGGGGCCGAGTCTATGAAACTCTTGAGAGTCAAGGCCTCGCAGTCACGGGCGGAGAGATGGCCGTCGTTGGCATATCTGGTCTCTTGACCGGAAGTACGTGTCCCCTTACCATATACATTCCCCTTTTCCTTTTGTTTGCTTGCTGCGATTGAGACTCGTGGAATCAAGACACAAAGATTTCTGACCGACATCTCCAGATGGTCTGTCATACTTCCTCGGCAGCCGTGGGTGGTCCAGCGCCGACGTCACCAATTTTGAGGTCGTTCTCGCCGGTGGAAAAGTCGTCAATGCCAACGCCACGGAGAATACGGATCTCTGGTGGGCTCTCAAAGGCGGCTCTAACAACTTTGGCATTGTCACGCGTTTCGACATGAACACTTTCCCTCTCCCGAACGGTGTATTTCACGGACCGCTTTCATACAGCCCGAGTCAGGGGGACGCTGCCCTCGGAGCCTTCTACGACATGCAGACCGGGCCTCTCCTTGAGGATCCACACCTCATGGTCACTTGCATGGAGATGCTCATACCTGCGATCAACCTCGCCATCATCGACCTCATCCCGTTCACGGATAAGCTCGACTTCACTGGTGACTACCCGTCCGCGATCAAGCCTTTGCTGGACATTGAGCCGGTAGCGACAAACATGTCCCGTATGACCCTCACGGCATTGGCATCGCAGAACATTACCCCGGAGTTCATGGGTGTTTACACGGCACGGTCAGCAAATCAATTTAGATTTTGCGAGTTATACATGCTAATCAGTCGTGATATCGCAGTATCAACCGAGCAAACATCAACATCAAGGCCGACAAGGAATTGTACAAGGAGATCTCCGCCTTACTTTTCGCCCACTATGAGTCTTCCAAGCTGGAGGGACATACCATCGCCATGTCTTGGAACCCCATCACTCCGTACACCATCCGCGAATCGAACAGAAAAGGGGGCAACCCAGGCGGCTGGCAGGATATCAACCAAAATTGTAAGATCATGTCTTCACCTTAGAACTCGAGTCTTGCAAAGCCTCTACTGACTCACTGGCCGCACATAGCCCTCAACTTCAGATCCAACTGGGACAATCCTGCCGACGATGCAGCAGCTCTTCGGATGGATGAAGAGTTCATGGCCAAGGTGACGGAGATGGCTCGCCAGCGAGATGCTCTGATGCCTAACCTGTGGATGAACAACGCTGCGCAAAATGTCGATGTCATCAGGAGCTATGGGGAGGACAATTTTCAGAAACTGATAGCTGTGTCGGACAAGTACGATGCGGAGAAGACGTTCCAGCGGCTCTGCCCTGGAGGTTATAAGCTTGGGGTCTGACTGGTGTTCTTAAGCATTGGATAGAAGTTGCGTCTTTCGTTTCTTCTGTTTTGTCAGATACGCACACGATCTGATGCTCACGTTAGACAGCCCCCTTTTCCTAAAATATGGAAGAGAGACTATACTATCTGATAGACTATTTTATATTTATTGTAGGATTCTCTTGCCAATCAAGATCTTGATGCTGCTCAAAGAGCATAGTAACATGACGTTGAACATGACGCTGTTGAGAGCGGATACTGATGCAATGATAGAATCTCATGTTCTCATGACAGTGATTCCATTTCGCAAAGACCCGTCCGCACATGACTGCACTCTCAGAGGGAACTGATGTCTGCATTGACCTGGAGTACCTTCCTCATCATCTCCACAATCGTCTGAGATAAATGACCGACAGCCATCCTCGAAAATGGCGCTGAGACAGGTCCTGGCCCGTGACTCTGACTACAGTCATGGAGGTGGTTACTCATGCCTCGATTAACGGGGCTCATGTCGTCTGGGATGCTGGGATATGAAGGGAAAGGCGTCGTTTGAATCTTCTAAGGATTACTCCCAAAATTGAAATCCGTGTCTCGCAGAAAGTCCATCACAGCCTCGTTATTTTGAAACCAAGACTCCAGCTCAACTTCGTTTCCTACACGGGTCAAGGGCTGTGTTGCAGAAGGTCTACGTTGTGTTACACCGTTGTCTCTCGGCCCTTCAGCTTCCGCAATGTCAACCATCCCAGTGCCAAACCACGGCATGTCGCTGGTTGGTCGTTGCTGGTCGCCATTCTCCAGCCCAGGCGGCGCGATACCCAAGGCCTCCAAGAACCAGTCCATCTCAGGACCGGCCTTGCTATTGCCCTCCTGTACGCTTGCCGCGCAAAGCTCGACATAGCGGACCGCGATGCCGTAGAGCGTGTGGAACAGGTGGTAGGCCTTGAACGCCGCCTCGGAAACTTGGGCAGCGGCTTGGATGGAGTCGGAGAATTCCCCAAGACGGCCAAGATCTGCCCTATCCTGCGTCTCTATGACGTGACAGAACATGACAATGAACGGTACGAAGGGGGCGTATAGGATGGACCTACTGCGTTCAGCATTCGGCTGTTTCCAGGCGAGGTTTTGGACGCATCAGCATGCGAAGGAGTGTTGACATACCACTGAAAGTGCAATGGGAAGAAAATGTTACCGTTGCCGCTCTTTTTGATGATGCTCACGCAGTCTCTGTGTTTCTCCAGCGCAGATCGCGCGGCAATGACGCAGTCGAGGCTGAAAGTTGTCGTCGAGCCTGGAGGTCGTGGCGCGGCTCGATGAACCAGTGTGAGCAGAGACAGACGCAACGTCTCATCTGACAAGGCATAAAAGTCCATCAGATCTTCTCCCGACTTGTCTTTTGACTCTTGTAGCCACCTTCTCTGTGGTAACGTCAGAAACACAACAGCCTTGGCCTGGTTGTTACTCACATTGGTCTCCCGGGTCGCCTCCTCTAATTTTTGCATATCAGACACGAGACCCTGGACCCGAGACTGCCGGACAGCATCGGGCTGAGAGACAGAGTCCGGGCTGTAGAGCATCTCGTAGATATTCCCTTGGCAACGGGCCGTCTCGACCCACAACACCCAGTAAGCCAGTGCCGGCTGCTGATGATGGTCGTTGACGGACGGCCTGCTAGTCGTGATCGTCCATTCAGGAATCGTCGACGCGCGGCCGAGGCGGAGCGACAAGCTTTTGTCAAAGAAGTATGTGCTCCAAAAGAGGAATCTCTTCAATTTTGCATCCTCTTCGCTTTCCTTTTCAGCGGGGGAAGCTCGATGGTAGCCGAGCGATTGGCACAGCTCCGACGCCTTTGAGGACAGCGACCAAGCCAGAAATGGTTTCGAAAGCTCGATCGAGTGAGAGGCCTGCAAGGTAGTTAGCAAAAGTATGCTTCGATTGATAATGGAATCGCATACACCAAAGATGAGAGCAATGACCGTCTTCGAGGTTGCAGGGAGGTGAAGTGGCAGACCGGTGAGCGCGGTTTCGAGGTGTGCGCGGCATAGATTAGAATACTTGAGACTCCTTTCCTTCTCCTCTCCCGATACAATATTGCTGTAGTCCTTAAAGATGGAATGGAGCCCGGCGGTGACGATGATGAAATCTGCTTCAGAATACTGTTCTGAAAAGTAGACTTCTAGGCACGTATTTGAAAACGTGTGCACTGGGAGGTAGTCGTATATCCAGCCTGTTCCAGCGAGTCGTTGTGCTATTCGAGTCATTGTAAGTATCAAATTTGATCATGGAATGGGGGGCCATCTCGAAGCAGGAACTCACAATCGGCAACGCGAATGACTTTAACGGTCTCTTGTATAGGTGGCAACTCGCATCCGTAAAAGCTTGGCCGTTGAACGAGTCTGGCGTGGGGGTATACTACTTCGTCTGTTACAGCAAGCTGTTTGTAGGAAGAAACGATCTGAGAGAGAACTTTGAGATTTTCCTGCAGCGCTCCGCCAGGATTGGTACATGATGGGGAATCGCCACGAGCGACCTTCTGTATGAAGTCGTCGGCGAAGGTGAACTGAGCAGCCAACGATGATTCTCCCTCCACCACCGACGAGGCCTCGAGCCCAGGGCCAGTAGTCAGAGTCCCCTGGCTGCCGCTTGGAGACTGAAGGGATGCATTTGAGGTCTGTTCCGCATTGAGTGGAAGCTTCTGAAGCAAGCCAACAACCTGTTCCAGGCGGCGGTCAATTTGGTCAATCTTCTTCTCGCTAAGGACAGTGACAGCGGTCGTGTCAGCTCGCTCTTAAGTCTGTGGGTAGTTCTGAAAAAATTCTTACTACTGTGAAGTCAACAGAATCCGGGTTTTCTTCTCGCGTGTCTTTAATTTGTCCGTATAAGTACACTGGGCATTGCTGCCGGCGCAATGGCTACAAGGCTGCTCTCTATCGCAGCGAATCTATCATAAAATATTAGTCTATCAAAGACCGGTGACGACCATTTGAGCTCCTGTGAGGAACATGGTGCTCTATTCAACCATGTCCTGCGAAAGTTCAATGGCATACCTTACGCGCGCGGCAAGTATCGCACTGCCAATAGGTTAGCCAAGGCGAACATCGCCAACTTCTCTTGCAGCTCTGGAGAGTAACTAACAGATCGTTGGAATGCAGGTGTTGTAGACGTCGACGTCACCGCTGAAGGGTCGCCTCCGTCTTCGGTCTCTTCCATATTCGGATGGGACGACGGCTGGCTGCATGTACAATGGGGGCTGGTTCCGGTCTCCGGGGGTTGACGGGCGCGATCCAGCAAAGGCACACGAATGGTCAATTCTACTCTTTGAACGTTACTGAAGACCCTCACAAGAAACCCATGCCGTTCCGTTTTTTCCTTGCCAGCACTGTAGTGTTCGTGTGGTGTGGCAGTGAAACGCCGGTGACTCAGGCCGTGCGGGCCCCGGGTCCCGGGGGTCCGCAAGTTCCGGGCCCCGAGCCGGTTTGGTCGCGATAATCAATTGTCGTCTGTGCCAATATATAATAATTCCCGGTCCTTCGGCCCAAATTTTACCTCAGCACGATAATAGATGCTTCCTGTTTTCAATGGAGAGCATTCTTCCAGTTACGCATATCTTGATCGATCCATCACCAGAATGGACTACGGCTGTCAGTTTTGGCCAAATCCGCGATGATACCACGAACACCACGGCAGTGAGAATGACGCCTCTTGAACCTTCTGCAGAATTGATTGCGTGGGGTCTCACCAAAGATGTTCTCCATGCGAGACAATGTACAAACTAACGGTCACATGCCCTTATCCTCGTATGCAAGCCCTCTGTTGACAGTGGCATCGGGTGGACATGGCGACAAGTGATTTTCAAAGCTTCTTTAAGTCTCGAAACCTTCATCGTTGGTCCTCTAAAACTGCAAACTTCGCATTACCTCTCCTCATGCTGCAACAGCCTCCACCCCTTTCCTCGCTGCCCTCTCAACAAACTCAGCCGTCTCCGCGGTCCTCGACAAGAACGGCGAATGCGACGTCTCCTTGAACGTGACCTTCAACGCGTCCGGACCCAGCGCCTGCGCCATCATCTCCTGCGCGAAGAACGGAATCGCATGGTCGTCCTCGCACGCAATGTACGCGCAGGAGATGTCGTGCCACGGCTCGTAGGTCACGCGCTCCTCGAACGCCTTGACGGTCTGGTGCTTGAGCATGCCGACGCACTTTGAGGTGACCTCGGGCGCGACGTCTTGGTAAAAGACTTGTTCGGGGTTGTTTACAAAGATCTTGCCATCCTAAATGTTGGTGTTTTTAATATTTGTTCACCATGCAACGACAACAGTCCTGCTCCCCTATTTTCCACACCAGGAGGGGTTGGGGTTTGCGTGTTACTCACCTCGATCCTCATCCACGGCTGAGGCTCGTTCCTGGTCAGATCCCACACACCGGTTCCAGTCGGCGCCACGAAGGCGGCAACGTACACGAACACGATGACGCCGCCGGCCTTGCCCTCCGCGGCACGCTGCTTGTACCCGAGGCCCTTGACAGCTTGGGCGCCTACGATGCCGCCGTATGAGTGTGCCACTACGACGACCTGCCTCCCCTGGTCCGCCAGCTCCTCAATGACAGCGTGAGCGGAAGCCGCGTCGTCGAACATGCCCTTTGTGGGGGGCTCGGCGCCGACGGAAACGTTCGTCGTGGTCCTAGTCTCCCATCCCCTCTTGTGAAGTTCGGTCTGGAAGACTTCAAAGGACTCGGGGGAGTGCCATGCTCCTGGCGTGAGGACAATGACTGGCTTGGAAGACATTTTTCAAGTGCAGGTTGGCGGAGTCTTGACAAAACGGCTTGAAATTAGGTAGAGTATATGAGAGAATAATATGTTGTGAGACTGACGGAAAGCAGGATGAGAGAAGATATCTCCTCAGACGAACGTCACTCAAATATGTCTGAACCCATGCAACTTCGATATCCGATCATACCAATGGACGTTGGGGACTTTGGACAAGTGTACCGTACCTGACCCATCATCGTGGGTACAGTCAGACGAACCGTCAGCGCTTTACCAAACGTGGTGCCTTCAAGAGGATCAAACTCGTTGCTCGACGAATAAGAAAACACCTGAATTCTTCAACCTTACGCAAGAAAGCTTATCAGACCCCGTTGAGGGGTTTTCTGCCCTTGACTGTTGGTTCTGAGGTCGTCTTCATTGCGGGGCGATATCTGCAGGACTTCGGACTTTTGCGAGTCGCGTGTTGTGGGTGGAGTGATGGGCTGACGCCAGTTCACCGCGAGTCTTGTCTGTAAAGAGGATGAAAGGTAGCTGTGGAAACTAAACTAGAAGCCATTCATCATGGCTATGCAGTCTGAAGTCAAAATTAGGCTAGAAAGACGGATGACCATACATGTGGTCAACATGGGTCAGCCATCTAGGGCTGACAGCAGCTGTCAAAGACCAAGTCACGCTCAAGATGCTGATTTCAGATATGTCGAGTTGCCGGTATAAAATGCCTGAGCCTGGTATACTTTCTCTCCAGCCGCAAACCATCATGACCTCTTCTACTTCATCGTATTTGTTGTCTCCTCACCTTACCCAATTACCTGCATCCTGACGACGGGCCAACTTGCCATCATCAGACTCCATGCCGTGGTCATCTTACTTGTATAATCCGTAAACAACAGGAAGGGAGAACGGTGTTGGTCTGATCGACGACGAAGAGTTGTTCTATTTCCACACTTTCTGTAAACCAGCTCAGCACCGTCGATATGTGACATGCTCAACAATGAAATGCGGTACCTGGAGCTTGTATTGTGTTTTCGAACAGAACCAACCAACTACTTCCTCACCTTTTAAATAGTCTCAGGGGCCGATCCTGATACGAAACACCATCGATAAAAGCCACCATCCATCCGTACTGCCATCTCTCAACACCGCAACAAATGCATCATCGGGGGCATTTTTGGGTCGAGTCAAGACGAAGCAAAAGCCAGGCACCCAGCTGAGCACGCAGAATTATCAGGAGAGTGATGTTCAGTATATGCTCATTCGTTGTCCGCCCCTGGCCTGCTCAGTCTATCCCGCGCTTATTCACACGAAGTCATCTAACTGCTTGAAAGGATGTAGCTACCAAAAACCTTGTCAAAGCGGGACGCAATGTCTTCCAGGGCAGGAAATACTCAAACGGCACTCAAGGCAACATACACGTACGCTAAAGCTAAAGCAACATCCACTTGGTGCAGACAGCTTCGTATGGGCGCCTTGAGCTTTATAAATGAGGTTAACACATCTGTGCGCAAACAGTTCTTGATCAACCAAGGGTATAAGGACGTGCAAAAGAACCATACATGTCGACTCTAGTAGGATGGGATAAAGGAGACGGCGTGCTTTCACACACGCAAGCAATCATAGCATAGCGTCAACATTAACATCAAAGCATTTGAAAAAGCTTTCTTCATAACTGAACTTCAATTTACCCGCAAACCGTAATGCAAAGTGGAGGGCCTAACGCGCAAGAGGTATATAAATCCCAACCCGAGGGATGTCCCAAAGTTTCATTTCATTGTGAACCCAGAAAAACCTTTTACAACTCGTCGTGACCGTCCTCCTTAGCCTCCTTGGGGTCCTTAGCCTTCTCGGCCTTCTCAGACTCGGTGGCGGCAGGGGCGGCCTGGCTCTCCTCGGCACCCTCCTCCTTGATGGAGACCTCGGCCTTGTACTTGCCGTTCTCCTTGATGAACTCAATGAGGTCCTCAACAGAGCGGGAGCCAGAGTAGGTGACAGCGTCCTTCTTGGCACCGGCGGGGTAGAGCTTGATGGTGGGGAAGCCCTGGATCTCATCAGGGACGTCGTTGGCGGTAGCGTCAACCTTGGCGATGACAACCTTGTCCTTGTACTCAGACTTGGCGTAGAGCTCACCAAGCTGGTCGTACTTGGGGGCCAGAGCCTTGCAGTGACCGCACCAGGGGGCGTAGAACTCAATCAGGACATCCTTCTTGTCATCAAGGACAACATCCTCGTAGTTCTTGGCGACAACAATGGTGACGGGGCCGTCCTGGGACTCGGGGACGGGCTCAGACTTGATGCTGGGCTCGACCTTGCCGCTGGAGAACTCCTCGACGAACTTGGCGATGTCGTCGTGGGTGATCTTCTTGTCCTGGTCGAAGGGGAACTTCTGGTTCTTGACGGTCTCCTGGATGGCGAAAGAGGGGAACTTGTCGGTCTTGAGGTTCAGGTTGCCGGCGTGGGCACCGAAAGCCTTGGCGTCAATGGTGGCGAAGTTGATCTTGCCGCGGTACTTCTCGGCGATGGGCTTCAGCTCCTTGCCAAGCTCCTCACGCTCCTCGGGGGTCTCAGCGAAGATGTAAGCGAGGGGGATGCCGGCGGACATGTAGCCGGAGTAGGTCTCGGGGCCGACCTCGCCGATGAGGGGAGTGGCGGCAGTCTGGGCGAAGCTCTCGATGGCCTCGGCGTCGAACTTCTCAGTGAAGGTAGCCTTGCCCTCGTCGAAAGACTTGTAGAGGACAATGGCGGGGGCCTTGACGCCCTCAGCCTCGGCAACAGCAGCGTCGTTGACGCCACCGAAGAGGTAGGTGTCACGGTGCTTCTCAGCAACCTTGGTGAAGGTCTCGTTGGAGGCCTTGTCGGAGGCGTCGATGTAGGCGACGAGGACAACCTTGTCGGCGGTCTTGAACTCCTCGAGGGTGTCCTTGGTCAGGATGGAGACGGCAGGCAGGGACTGCTTGACCATGTAGGAGGTGATGGCAGCAGCCTTGCGCTGGCCGGAGTAGGGAGAGATGCTCTCAGGGCCACGGAAGACCTTGAGGGTGGGGTAGCCCTCAACGCCGTACTCCTGGCAGAGGTCGGCCTCCTCAGTGCAGTCGACCTTGACGAGCTTGATGTTCTTCTCCTTGAGGGAGGTGGCAGCCTCCTCGTACTCGGGGGCGAGGGCCTTGCAGTGACCGCACCAGGGAGCGAAGACTGGAAGACAAGAGTCAGTTTGTGCTGGATCGCGAGGGTTTTGGATCGCGGGCTACTCACACTCAGCAAGGACCAGGTCGTTGGTCTTGATGAAGTCGTTGAAGTCGTCCTTCTTCAACTGGGTGACGTCGCTGGCGGAAACCGCGGCGGCGGCGGCCAAGAGGCCGAAGGCAACACGCTTGCAGAACATTTTGACCCTGAAGCAGGAATTGTTAGTAGTCTGTAAAGCGAAGCGAAGCTCAAAAGGTCGCTGGTGAAGATTTTGCGTGGCGTGGCGAGAGGGAGAAGGCGGTCGGCGGCAGCTTCACGATAGCTGTCCTTTGCGACCGTTTGGTGGATGTGGAGGTAGTGGGGAGCTTCAAACGTCGAGCTCGATGTGGAGAGTGAGATGGGATTGGGATTGCTGCTTACCTTTCTTGACCTGAAGAAAATGAACAGTGAGGAAGGAAAAATTCACGCTTGGGAGGGAGGCGGACAAGTCAGACTCCAGAATGGTGTGAATGGGAAGAGGTTCTGTCTTAAGTAGGAAGTGGAGGGACGAGCCAGCTGGAGGTTTTCTGGACAAGATTTCGGACCATGGATTTCCAAAGGGCAATTGAGAACAGGTGTCCCTTTTTCCAGGAACCGCCGTCAGCTCATGCGTTCACTAAGGCGGCGGCGGTTGTCTGTGTGGGTTAGCGGATTGGGGGACACCTTGACTTGACACCCCTCTGGCGGTGGGCGCATGTATCCGGAAGTACCGACACGAGTCATTTTTGCGTTGAGATACAGATTGGGGGCGGGCAGCTACTTACCCCAATCCACAGGCAGCCCGTGCTCTCGTGGTGCTTCTCCCTCCGTTGTGAGGGGCAAATCGGCCACTCACCCCTCCACTCCCTTCCTCTTGCTGCACGCCGTTCAGGCAAGGCAGGTACTCCCCCACCGTTCGGCCGCCTGGAAGCAACTTACGGTGAATTGATAATCAACCAACCACTCTGACCCGGGAGTAACGTACACGGCAAGGTGAGGAAGGAAAGATCCAACCTGCTTCAAACGGGCTACGGCTGGATACCTGCCTAGCTGCGTTGGAGGCGAGTGCAAGTGCCTGGCCTGGGCTGTGAAGACCACGGCCGTTGCTGAACCAGGTAAGCTCGGCATATTATTTTCAGTCTTCCGTGCCTGTCCCTTGCTCGCCTTGTCTGTCTCCGGTCCGTCTGCCTTACGAGGTGTCGGTGGGGAGAAGTCCAAGTTCAAATTGATTGCCAATCATATTCAAGTCGAGTCAAAATGATTGCTTGCTCGACCCAGAGGCAAACGCTCGAACCTGTACTATGCGGGCGGCCATTGCGATTGCCATGCCATGCCATTGACTGTTGGTAGTTGCACCCCTATTCTGCACATTCCGACTTGCGTCTGGGCGGTCTTCTGAGACAATCATCGTTGGATGGCACAGCTTCCCCTCAGCCCGTCCCATCTTTTCCATGTCTTTCTGCGCCCAGCCCAGGCCAACCGTGGTCCAACGCGCGCGTGCTTTGTCAACGGTGGCGGCCATTCTAATATCGATATTTGGTCTCATGCTTTCTCCTCTGTCTGCGCCTTTTCGCGTTCCGCGCCTGGTGGTAACTGAATTGGTCATCCATATCCAGATGTGGCCAACAATGGCTGACCTGCCCAGAGGCTCTTGGGGGTAAGGTTTTCGCTTCCTGAGGTGAGGACACAGTTCCATGTTCTCACCGGCTGCAAAGGTCTGCGGTCGCCGCTCCGTGCTTCCTTCCATTCACGGTTCCCGTCCATCCTGCCACCACAAGGTGCACCCGTGGACCCATTCTCTCGCCTTAGGATCCTGTCCCCACCACCCGCCAAGCTGCCCTGCCGGCTCGCGATCCAGCGGCAATGCTACCGTGGAGGCTGATCACTAACCAGATCTGGTCTCTGTCGGTAGCATCTTTTTTGGCGCTTCGCTCACTGTCCGATGGGACCCTGGGACAAGAGGTGGAGGTGACCCTCGTAGACGTCCAGCTCCAGGCTACTGTCAAACTGCCTGCTGCATGCACTTTGCAAAGCTCCAGCCACCCAACGGGCTGCGCGACCCTGTACTGGATACCGTGGTAAAACCTCCCAGCCTCACTCACCTCATGATGGGGCAAGGGTCCCGCGACAGAGGGAAAGTCACCGACCGGCCTTGCCTCGTTCGCGTTCGCGATGCCCGCATGCAATGTTCTGCATTCTGCAATCTCACTTGTGGACTTTTGCCATCGCCGGAGCTGCGCGAACCGCCCGTTCCTTGGGCAGGTGTGTGGTCGAGTGGTGCTGTACGGAATATTATTCCAAGATTAGCTGCGGACCGATGCAAGGCACCCTCCCCTCCGCGATCACTCATCACACATACGCCCAATACGGAGTTCAAGGTGGTCTTGCGCCAAACAAAGAGCCGGCTCTTTTGTCACCTCGGCCCCATCAATAGCAGCCAAAAGATCATATTCAGGAACCAACGCTGGGTGCTGGTTGCTAGCTGCCTGCAAAGTGGAACTGTGTCCTCACCCCGTTTGTGGCCTTACGCGGTAACCAGAACGGCGCAGCGGCTGAGGTGCTCCGTGTCGCCCCAATTCAAACCCTCTAAACTTTGTTCCCTCCGACCCGAAGAATCCGATTACCTGTGGGGTCTGGAAGCTTTCAACTTCCGTCTCGGATCCTGTGCTATGTATATCATCTGCACAGAGCATGCCTGTCAGAGCTAGACGCTGCTGGTATCACATTCAATCTCCCGATATTGCCCTTGTGATTCCAAATAGTGTCAATGAGTCGTTTGTCAGACCGAGTTGCGAAAGGACAGTTGTCTCTTAGCTGCAACCATCTTGGCGGGCAGATCCGCATCCCATGCTGCCATGCTGACGGCAACTTAGTTTTGGCCAGAGTAGGCAACTGCCTACGGTATCCATCCAATCAGGCAGCCCGCCTCTCTTTTGCTGCCCAGTTGTACCGCTGTACGCCGTCCCATCTGAGATGAGGCCACAACACCATCGTCTGAAATCTTGCGATACTCTACTTCATGAACGTCTCTCCTGACGCTGCCATGTCTAGTGCTCCCTCAGTGCACCGAATATCGTTCAAAAGTGTATAATCGGGTAAAGACTTTGATTTTATGAACTTCTGGATAGCCACTGCACTTTCCTCTGGCAGCTGCACCACGAGCCAGGCCTTCCTTCTGGTTTGCAGATGTCAACAGGATGACAGCCACTCTTGAAGAAAGCTTTTTCGGTGAGACGGAAAGAGCTGGGCACGTGGCAGGAAGTACTTTCCCAGGAGAGCAAGCTCGCAAGAAGGACAGAAGGCACGAAACTAGGTGCCTTCCAAAATGAGCACATTGCGCCTGCTTCTGCTCAGACGTTGCGGGAAAGCACGTTCAAATATAGCAATGAGTAGGAAGCTGCTTCTGACGGGCCATCCTTTCCACGGACGGCTTCAGCTGGCGAGTGCCGGACAATAATCTCCCTAGACATTGGCAAATATCAGACTACTTTTCCCGGGAACATCCGCCACGCATGGGGATGTCGTGATAATCCGACGACGTTCGAAATAGCTTCATATCGACTGTTGCGGGGTCTCCGCTCTGCTTCATCCCCCTCTGTTGCCCATCAATCATACCCATATTGCCATTTGTTTCTGTCCGATTTAATACCAATTCCACCTCCGATGGAAGGGACCTACGTCCAACGCTCCGTCAGCCATGGCTCGCTGCGCAGCAGTTACCGGTCTCGTTCTCGGCCTCCTGCCAGCCACTCGCTGCCTCATCGACCTCTGAGAAGTGTCACCGAGAGCGCAGGCCTGCTGCCATCCCCAGGTCCCCTCGAAAGCATGCTCAAAACCACCACCGAGACGGGAGACATCGGCATATTCACCATCAAACCAATTGCTCCCGCAGCCACCACCCATCACTGCGCCAGGTCTAGACCAAGCATTGACGCTAGCTCCATCTTCAGGTCAGAGTCGCGCAGCAGCATCAGGACCGAGAGGAAGATTAGCCGTAGGAGGTACGGTTCTGATCGAGATACCAACTCAGAGATCATCTCAATGTATGGCTCCGAGAGCAATCCATCATCTGGCCTCAGCCCGCGGTCTTCCAGAATTAACCAATTTCGGCGCTCGTACTCTCTCACTGCAACGGCTCCTCGACAGTTGTCACGCAAGGTATCGTCACGGACTTTGCAAAGCCCACTGGGCAGCGGCAACCTGCAACGTCCACGTTCTCCTTTTCCCTACCCCACAAGATTGAAGCGCCCTGGCGTGAGGCCGTCTTCGCCTGCTGTAACCGAGAACGGGCGCGTCGACTACAGTAGGATGGTCGAGCTTGATCGAATTTCGTTTGTAAGTTTGAACGACAGCACTGGTGCCACCAGTCATGCTGACCAACTTCAGAGGACTGTCCACGGATCGTACATGCCAACTTACCCTAGAACTCGTCTTGCACCTCCTCTTTCGTTGCGCTCCGATACAAATCAGTCGATGCCGTCTTTGCCGTATGGCAACTCTAAAATGGCACCGCTCAGCCAAGATGGCCGCAGTCAAAGTCATAGGGCACTCTTGAGCAGCCAATGGAGCGGTGAACGATCAGGTACCATCCGGCGGCAAAACTCCACAGACCAAAGCTTGCGGTCATCGAGCCTGACGTCAGTCATCGACATGTACTGCAAGCAGACGCCAAACTCAGGGTCGGCTCCCATTCGCACACTCCGTCCGGCAGGCTCATTTTACTATGACTACACTGAAGGGTTTGAGACTCCGGAAACGACTGATGCTGCTCCTACCACTGAGGCCAACACTCCGTTGGCACCCATACCCAAGCGTGCTTCGAGTCTTGTCAAAGCTTTGGTACTCCGCGACGAGACTAAGGCCCGTCTCGACGCGGTGGTGGACATATCCGTGAAGGATTCAAGCGATTCGTCTGGAGACGACGGCCGAGGCGCAGCCCAAGGCGATGCTGACTCGAAGGACATTTCTCCGTCCCTGGCCCCTTTTTCTTTCGAAAAGCATGGTAGTTCAGTTTCCCATCCGAACGACGCTGACGGTGGAAAAGGATATTTCAACATGATGTCCCTTTTCGCAGATGATTCGGATGCTAGCCAAAGCGAGCATGCGCGCAATTCAGCAAGGCATGTACTCAAAGATGATGCCCATGAACACAGCATCATCAATGGGAATGAACGGGAACAGACACGTGCAGATGTTTCAACAACAAGAGGTCGCTTCGACTGTATTCCTCCCCAAGACAAGGTCGCCAAAAGATCTTCAGGTCAAGGAAAGCTACGTAAGTCTCCAAGTGCTCCAGCAGCCGTCATGTCAACCTCGCGGCAATCCACGTCGCAAGGTGGGCTCGCGGCCTTGCTCCGATCGAGTGTTCGAAACTCTGTTGACCCTGGGCTTTCTGACTTGGCGGCACTGGTTTCATCTTTTGAGCGCATTGCCAAGTCCCCTTTCCTGAGGAAGGAAAAGGGGTGCTCTGGAATGATTGACGATGCCAACTACGGCGATTCAGAGTATGCTGATGATTCCAAGGCGAATGCGGAAGAACTCATTAGTGCAACTCGTCAGAATACTGACCAAATTGACGCCAACAGCAAGGCTATGGCTTTAAAGCCCTTCTTCAGAGGTCATCGGAGGAACCAAGCGGTTGCGTGCATTAGCACAAACACCCTTCGATCCGAAACGCCCACATCAACCAAGAGTGCGAATGCAACCATCTTCTGCCCCGAACCAATTTCTCCAGCTCGCGAGCTCAGAGTCAGAAACAGCATTCCCCAGCTCATGAAGGCGTTGCCTTCTATCCCCAACGAGTCGCCTTACAAGTCACCACAAGCGTCAATCAGGTCTACAGACGACCTAGGCTTCCCGGTTGAGTTCTCCCCTTTCAAGCTTGAAATTCTTGCGACTCCTCGATCAAGTCCTAGGATTACTCTCAAGTCAAACGTTGAGGATCATGAGTCTTTCAGGGCGAGCATCGAGATTGAGACAGATTCTTTGGACCCATCTACAGATCAGCAATCAGTCTCGAGTGATAAGTCAATCTCGAACGAGGTCAACATAAGCAAAGATGTGCCTGTTTCTTGTACACCTTATGAGCAAAAGTTTGTGGATATCGGGTGCGCAGCCGAACCGCGAGGACCGACCCAAAGCCCTCGACTGAGAACATCGCGTGATCCGCTGGACATGGTCGTGGAAGAGAATCCGAGCGGCACTGTCAGACGATATCTGAGCTTCTCCAAAGAGAGACCTCTCAGCGACTTGGTGGAGGACCCGTCGGAAGGCATCCAGGCTCAGGTGCAAGATAGAAAACCTCGGGATGGCCGAGTATACCAGCGTAAGGGGAGACAGTTTCGCCTTGTGACGCCTAACGGGCGAGGCGCCAGAAGAGTAAACCGTCCGCCTTACTCTTCTGCAGATACTAACTCTAGTGATGGATACTTACATGAGCGTTACATACCTCTGGCTCACCCGGTCGACGAGAACCTGAGGCCAAGCAGCTCGATCGAGGGTTACGATTTGAGTGATACACGCAGCTTCAGCTCTGACCTGAGCTTCATTCGCCCAAAGATTATTCGCAAGAAGCTTTCGCACCTGAAGATTCGCATGGCCAGATCACGTCTCAACCTGAGGGGCAGGAACATTGGTTCAACGGATTCTGACGCCACCAATCGATTGCGAGTTCAACCGGGTGTATCAGCACCTGGCCAGTCCAAGAAAGTGGGCAAAAGAATGAAAGGGTGGTTCAGACGAGCTGTCCACATCATCATCAGGAGGCGGTGAGAACCAATATCGTTTATGCAGTGGCAGACGAGAAGCGAAGCAGCAGAATTTTGTGCCGTCATGTTTACCACTGTTGGGTGCGTTCTTTTGATTGGCTTTCAAGAACTTGGGCTTCTTGAAAAAAGACTTGATGATGCATTGAGAGGAAGGGGGTGTAATTTGTGAGGCCTGATTGTTGGCGATCGAGTCTGGCTATGGCTGTAGCTCCGGATCGAGGGCGTTATAGGCGCAAGAGGTATGAGTTTGGGTCTGGGGAAAGTGCAGGGACGAGACTACGACGCCTGGCAGACTATGTAGTGAATAAAACAAGACATGCGCCTTCAGATAGGGCTATTCATGTGGAAGGTACTTGTAGGGGCATGAGGTATACCTGTGGGCTCTCCTGGGAGGGCAGATGACGCCTTGGCTTGTGCAGCCTCGAGATTTACTTCCCACAGGATCTCTCGTTTAGGCAAACATCCTCAAGAACAAGGAGGAATTGGTCCGAATGGAAATGTGCCTTTAAAGGCTAAGATTCCCATCGAGTCCCCTTCTCTCCGGGTCCTCTCTCGCATTTCACTACATTCGTTTCGTTTCAACACCACTCTCATCATCTTGCGATTAGCAACGTCGCGTCCTTTCGTTTTCCACACTCGCTTAGATACGGGGTCTAAAGGAACCATTGACATCATCGGGTTTCTTTTGTCTTTTCTGTGACGCACCTATCTGGATTTTCACTTATACCTTTGGTTGCTGTGGATACCATCCTGGCCATCAAGGGAAGAACACACACACACACACACACACACACACACACACACACACACACAGAGAGAGAGAGAGAGAGACAGAGAGTTCCGGCATCACTTATCGGAAGACGGACAAGAATAGGGTTTGGGTAAAATAGGTATAAACAAAACGGTGGCAAACATCACGTTCGCTACCCCCTCGAGAACTTCACTGACACTACTACATCGACAAACACACTTCATCAACACGCTACTACCAACAAAAACATCAACGATTTCCATTTGTCTCATTGCTTAATTTGAAAAATAAGTTATAATGGCTCCTGGAATAACCTTCAAGAACCCCTTTACCGGAAGCACTCACCAGACTAGACGTGCTACTTCGGAGGAAGAGCGGGAGGAGACCGCCGCCAGTAACATATCTCCATCATCGTCGCCGCCATCCCGACGGCGCTCTGCGCTCACGGGGGATAAGGCTACCAGGCCGACCTCTGGAAGACTGTCTCCCCGGTCTGGGGGAGGAGACAAGGCCGCTGGGGATGGACCTCGAAAGGAAGACGAGGACGTGGCCCCTGAGGATTCGCGACGTAACTCTTTCCCCTGGTATGAGAAGGGCGAAAGCAGTCTGATGGCGGTCGAGCGGACGCAGAAGGAGCGCGCGAGGGTTGGGCTGCCGCCGCTTGTGTTTTCGGACGAGGAGGGGGGACCGTCGTCCGCACGAGCAGCGGCGGCAGCAGCTCTCCTGACACCACCACCACCACCGCAGCATCAACAGGGATCGCCGAGAGGCAGACGGAGGACCTCGCGGTTGCGGTCGAGCCAGGGCACGCTTGAGGGGAGCGACGAGGGCGGCGAGCTGAGCGGGGCGACGACGCTTGCTGGGTCGTTTAATGAGCGCGCCTCGGTCCTGGAGGTGCAGGACAAGGGCAAGAAGAAGTGGGATTATGGCGAGGGGCAGCAGGGGAAGAAGCAGCGGGGTGAGACGCGGACGAAGGGCGCGGAGGAGGAGGCGGAGGACGGCCCAGCGTCGTCGTCACCAGCACCGCCGGGCCATACGAAGCGGTGTATGTTGAAGAGTGCCTTGGAGAGAGTGGGCAGGGCGTTGATGTTCAAGAAGAATAAGGGCAAGGGCAGTGCTTTGGACTGCTGTTTGAGGCAGAAGAAGTCGTGGGAGGTGGTGAAGAACAAGGTGAAGTTTCCCGAGGCGTGGTGGAGGGCTGGGTGGTTGAAGAAGTGAAGCGGCTGGAGATTTCATCTATAACGAGCAGGTTTCCTGTTTCTTCCCTTCAGAGTTTTCATTTATGCTTAGGGATAGGTTTTTGTAGTAGTGAGCCGGACTTTGGGTTGGAGTTGGAGCATAGGATGTCACCATGCGGGTATAATGTTTGATATAGCATACGCAAGTAATGTCTGTGGCTGGGATTTTCAGGGATGAAATGGTGGATATCTTTTGCTTTCTTTTGTTTGAGCAGGTATTCAAAATACACCGCCGCCTATAATGAAGATCCGTTCCTCCTCGCGACGGGCCCATTGGATGACCTTGTTGGCGCCCTGGGTGACGACGGCACGGCTTACGTTGGGGCCGGCGACGCAGTAGAATTCGAAAATGGGCGTGATCCATGCTAGGGAGGTGGCATCTTCGGAGACGGAGTGGAGTACGCGCATGTGTGAGTGTTTCGCGTGAACGGCGGCGTGGAGTTGGTGGTAAAGTGTCATGAGGCGGCGGCGGGCTATGAGGGAGGAGAAGACGGGGTCGAGGGCGGACATGGAGAACTGCACATTTGCGCGGGATTTATAGAGGAAGTGGGATATTTGACCGCCGGGTGCGATGTCGACCGTCTTGGGCCGTCCGAGGCGTGCTGCCGCCTGGATGGTCGCGAGGTGCCCTGACTGTGCCAGGGAGGCTGCTACGTTGTCGCGCATCTGTTTTAACTCGAAGAAGGATTCCTTGTCGGGGCTGATGAGGATGATAGCGAGCTCTTCCTCCTTGTTCGCGCCGGACTCCGAGGTGGTTGTTGTGTGGTCGCCCTCGACGCCGTCAAAGAAAGAGACATACATGTATAGGTAGCCGCGGTTGTTGAAGGCGGGGAGGCAGAGAGGAACCCAATTCTCGCCGCCGCCGGCTTTGATACCGCCTGATTCAAAGAGCATGTTGAAGATGAGCTGGAGGTCGGAGGGGTGGAGAGAGTGCCGGCGAGGGCGGATGACGCTGACAAGCTTGCCGCCGGCGACGATGAGGCCGTACAGAAGCTTTTCTGTGCGCTGTTTGAGGAAGGCGTTGTTGATGGCGTGGCGTTGTGATTTGCGGAGCTTGAGGCATTCTAGAGCCCCGAGGAGGGCGGATGGTGAGCCTTTGGTGAAGTTATCGGCGAGCGACGAGATGAGAGGCTCGGTGCCCTCAAGTGGTTTGCGCAGGTCCGTTGACGGCCGGTGGACAAAGATGTTCTTGAGAACAGGGAGGGTGAGTGTTGAGAGGATCTGCATGTATAGAGCTTCGAGCTGTGCTCTGAGCTGAGAGTCGCTTTCACCGAGACGGCTGATGGCGACGAAGTATAGGGGGCCCTGGATGGATATGACAAAGCGCGTCTGGCCAGCCGTGAAAGCCTGCAAAGGGTTCTTGGCACCCTCGTAGAAGGATATAATAGTCTGGATGACACCCATGGACGAGTTGATGAGCCCCAGATCGCCATGCCGACTGTAGATGGGCTTCCCTGCCGAAGAGAGGATCATGTAATGCTTCAACTTGGACTTCCAAATCGTCACGCGGTCCTCGTCCTTGAAGTCCGTGTCCGCCTCGTCGGGCAATTCGTCAAACTCGTTCTCAAATCCCGCCAGGTTGCGCGTGGTGTCGTCCATCCTAAGACTCTCAAACGGCTGAACCGTGGCCGACTGTGACCTGAGTAGGTTCCACGCAGGGCTCTTTCTACTGAACTCTCCAACGAGCAGACTCGCAATGTCGCCGGCGGGGCGCATGGTCGGGGCGAAGCTCATGATGCTCATCGAGTCTTCCATTTCGTTCATGCCTGTGGTGGGTGTCGCCGAGCCGCTCCCGTTTTTGGAGGAGGCGACGGACGTCCTCGGGCCTGGTGTCGAGAAAGTGCCGCGCGAGCCATCTGGGAAGGACAGGGTCTGGATGTCGAGCGGTGTGACGGCAGTTGTGGCCGCTGCCATTGCCATACTCGCGTCTATCGAGTGATTCGAGTCGAGGGAGGGGCGGGAGGGGCACGGGGGCAGAGGGGGAGGCTGTTCCTCGCCATGACTGTTGTCGTTGCCATTGTCGTCGCCCATGATGGTTGTTAAGAGAGCATTTCCGCTCGATACTGTATAGAACTGTGAGCGCGTCGCCGCGCAGCGGGTGTGTACGTTGGTCGTGAAATCGCAGGTCAAGAATAGGAAATCATGGTGCTAAGATGGTCGCTAGGTCTGTATGTCCGTAAAGTAGTTGGGCGGAGGGCAGAAAAGCCCGAAAGGAGGCAGAGAGGTGCGGTCTGAGAAGTGGCAGCTGATGATGCGTTGGTTGGAGGGGCGCCAACCTTTAGCGGTGCGGCGGCCCTGATTAGTGGGAACGTTCCGCTAAGGACGAACGACCCAGGTCCACCCCCTCCCTCACCTGAGTTTTAGGTACCTAGCTGGTGTGCTCGGTCGTGGGGGCCCAACTCTGGCAGGATGGGAATTCAGCAAATGCCATGGAGCTCTCTTATCGCCTAGATAATTAGGTAGGTAAAACATTGAGAGCTGTCCCGGCGCATCCTGGCCAGGACAGATGCAGCTGCGGGTTCACCTCACGAGACAGTCGCGAGGAGTCGCTTGGATGCATTAGGTGAACACATGCGCTAACACATATCGGTTTTGTGAAATCGATGAGGCCCCAAGAATGCCATGTCTGCCCTCACAGGTACCTTGGCTGGTGGCGACCGTCTGTCACCTCATGTGCATGCGCGCGCGCGTCCAGGACCTCGGATTCCCTTGATGCGACTGGATTGGACAAGACGAAAGGGATGCCGATCGTCGCATAAGAAAGGAGGTGAGCTGAGATGGCCAATGAGCAGCGACACCCATGAAGGTTTTGGTATTTTGAACGCTTCTCATGCGCTTTTTGGGTCAACAAACAGACGACAGAACCAAATCAAACGAAAGGGACAGAACGCAAGGTATCTGTGGCAGGTAATGCGACGGCACAATGGGTGGATGCTCGTACTGTAGAGGTATGGGACCAACTGAAGCGAATGGAGGCCTGATGACGTTGTGGTTTGTCCTATCTCGGCGGTCGGCAGTGACCTGGAGCTTGGGAGGAGGGTCGCAGGGCAGCCTCGCCAGGCGGGAACGGTAACTAATTTAGTTCGTCCAATGGGAAGCTTGGGAAGCTTACAGGGGGTACCCCACTGTACACCTGGCCTGCGAAGGAGACATGGTAGCCTTTCGAGCTCAGCAGTCGCGGCCCTTGCGATCCCAAGTCATGACAAGGCGAACCGACAAGACAACGTGAAAGGGCCCAGCTGCGATGAGCCCTCGAGACCGCCGTCTCAAATGAACAAGAACACCCTGATGTTCAAATCCACCAAACGATCCATCAAAGACCGCAATCATGGCTCTTGAGCCGGGCTCTGGCCGGCGCTCCGTCTCCCCGGAGAGCTCAGGGCGGGACTCCCCCCTGCCGCGCCAATGGAGAAACCAACTCGGTGCCGGTGAGGAGCTTCGAAACAAACGGGACTGATGCAAGGTCTTGAGAGGTTGAAGCTAACTGTGTCGTCAGAGGAGGCTCCGTCAAAGGATAAGCACTACCGCAAGTACGCATCCGGCGTTGAGAGGGCCCTGACCCTCTTCGAGACAGCCCTACAGGAGTGGGCAGACTACATTTCCTTCCTCAACCGCTTGCTTAAGGTAAGTTCGATGCTTCGCGCGTTCAAGATACTGGAGAGGCTGACCATATTCAAGGCATTACAAGCTCGACATCCCTCGACCACCACCATCCCTGCGAAATCGACCGTTGCGAAGCGACTCTCCCAATGCCTCAACCCCTCCCTGCCATCGGGCGTCCACCAAAAGGCCCTCGAAGTTTACAATTACATCTTCGCGACGATAGGACAAGATGGACTGTCCAAAGATCTGCCGCTCTACCTCCCCGGTCTGGCGTCGACGCTCTCCTTCGCCTCCCTGTCCGTCAGGACTCCCTTCCTTGACCTTCTGGAAACCCACTTCCTCAGTCTCGATCCTCGATCCCTGAGACCAGCCATGAAGTCCGTCGTTCTAGCTCTCCTGCCAGGTCTGGAAGATGAGACCAGCGAGGACTTTGATCGGACACTACGGTTGATGGAGAGCTTCAAGAAGTCGATACGGCCGGCAGGGAGCGAGGAACTGGAGGGTCTACACTCGACTGGTGATGATTTCTTCTGGCAATGCTTCTTTCTAGCCTCCATCACAGGTTCTAGTCGCAGAGCGGGCGCTTTGGCATACCTTGTGAGGAATCTGCCCAAACTGGGCGACTCGCTGGCTCAGGGGAAGCCTGTCAAGAATGGGATCTCGGAGGAGGAGCACTCTACCCAACTGGCACAAATGGTTACCTCCCCTGAACCGGGACTGCTTTTGCGCTCTTTCGCAGCTGGTCTTGCCGATGAGCAGTTGCTGATCCAGCGCGGGTTTCTGGACCTGCTGGTCACGCATCTCCCATTGCACTCAAAGGTGCTCCAGAACAGCGTCAAGCCGGGCGACTTGGAGCTTCTGCTGCGTGCGGCCGCCGGTGTCGTTATACGAAGGGATATGAGTCTAAACCGAAGGTTGTGGGCATGGTTTCTGGGTCCTGAACCAGCGCCAACGGAGAGCGAGAGCGGCATGGAGTCACCCTCATCGACTGAACCACACAACGCCTATTTTGCGTCCAAGACCAGCTATTTCGAGGACCATGGTCTTCGCCCGTTGACACGAGCACTGCTGAGCATGATTCATGTCGATCGAGAATCAAGCCCTGCAGAGAGGGCACGGCCTTACAGGATATGCCTATCGTTGATGGATCGCTGGGAGATTGGTGGACTCGTCGTTCCCGAACTTTTCCTCCCCATCATCAACAGTGTCCGACAATATCGGGGCCAGTCACCAAGCAAAGCCGACTTCAACGAAGTTTTCCGTAGTGCGAGCGTGTTCTTTGATGGCGTCGAAAGTGGGCTCATCTACGGCGAGATCGTTAGCCTGCTTGCTCAGGCAATCGGCCCAGGAAACGTGTCCGACAAGGAGCGCCTGGATAAGCTCGACTTGGTGAACTTCATTTTGGCTAATTTCAATGTACGTGAGGAAGAGATGATCACCATCCACGCGCCGCTCACTGCTTTGTCCATCTTGTCGATGCTGGAGGACACGAGAGAGAGACAGAAATCGTCCACCGTTTCGCCAACGAAAGGCTCTGGCAAAATCGCCGAAGAGGCGCTTAGCATCTCGCTCGCTCTGCTGGATCTCGTGCCAGACCGAGCCTTTCCCGCAGCTGGTGATAAGTCCAAAAGGACTGTAGAAGCCGGTGTTCTGGCGTCACTGTCGGCAGTCGAAGTCTTGAAGAGGATCAAGTCGTTTTATGTTGATGAGCAGGGCAACCTCGATGCCAATATTCCGTTCACGCCGATCGAAGTCGGCGAGCTTCTTCTGCGCAAATCAGGTCAGCTCGTCTGCGATGGCTTGAAGAACACCGACTCGGATTCGGACTTGGGTGCGAAGGGAAGAATTCTTACAGCTCTTCTATTGAAGGTTCCATCGGCGTACCATTTAGACGCGAGTTTCCTCATGAAATGTCTCCACGACCGTCTCAAACACTCCGACAGGCTGTCATTTGTCTCTTTCAACTCCATCCTTTACTTATCTGCTCATCTCTACTCCGCCGAGCGTATCGAGCTGCCTGACCTTTCCGAACTTGTCACTCCGCTGGTCCAACATGCTTGGGAGTTTCTGTCAGCCTCAGAACCCAAGTACCACGTCGAAACAGTCAGATCTCTATGGCAGCTTCAGACTGCTTTGACTGTCCAGAACCGAGACATTGAAGCAGCCCTGGCAAGTCTAATAATTGAAAATGATGTTCAGGGCTCGTTTGCGTCCCGTCCTGCCGATGCGGGCCGTCGCTTTAGCGTGCTATGGTCTCACTCACTACAAGATTCTCACGCCGACAGACGCGGGTCAAAAACACCAATGATTGAAAAGCCGCCGCAGATTCGCTTGGCTGGATCGGAATACTACGACGTAATGCTGACTCGGCCTTTGTTTCTGATGCTGGATGCCCTCCTAGACGAGAGAACTCAACTGTTCATGACTGTTAAAGGATGGCTGAACAGTTTAGTTGGCACTGACAAGTGAGTAATACCTGTAGACGTATGAATCAGGAGACTAATACGGAAGCAGGTTGTTCTTAATATTCGTTCGAAAATTCGCATCCCTTCCTTTCCTCAGGGCCAGCCATGCCATCGGCTCGCCTGCGGCGTCGGCAGCTTCCACAACCTTTACTGTTGATGACGACCTGGATGTTTGTCTTTACTACCTGAGAACATTGTCAAACGTTCTACGCTGGGCCCCGGACGTGATTTGGGCTGTATTGGCCTCGACCTCGCTCACAGTCGATGCAGAGCACCCAGAAATCTCACAGATGAGTATGTAAACTAGTCCTACACGAAGATGTGTGCTAATCGAGAGCAGCTGGCCATGAGGGAGAGATTTCCATGCAAGAGGTTTTCATTCACGTCTGCCTGCGATGCATCGCTGGAAACAACGAACCGGAGGAGCAACTCAAGATACGATCTACTCAGCTCCACCGCTACGCCCTGACTGTTATGCACCAAATCCTCCTCAACCCCTACGCCGAGCCTCTTGCAAGCCTTCACTTGGAGAATGTTCTTATCGAACGCCTCCTCCAATCGCTAAACGGAACGGACCCATACGTCCAGGTTCTTCTTCTGGATGTCGTATTTGACGCGCTCAAGCTTCGGGACGTGATGATCGCTGATGTCCCGGGTTCCCCGACATCTGAAAAGAGGAAGCTGAGTCTGGAGCCCTCCAAGAGCATTAGAGTATCAACACAGTCAGAGACAAAGCCAACAGCACCACCACCTAACCTACTCAAGTGCCTTCGGGCTGGACTGAGTTCTCCTAGCAGCCGCAGCGTCCTCGACAGTTGGGTCAGTTTCCTAACGGAATGTCTCCCTTTCTACTCCGACACGATTTTCCAAGTTTTGATTCCCCTCGTCGAAACACTTTGCCGGCAAATTTCCAACACATTCCAAGATCTCCAGTCCATCTTCAGGGAGAATGGTGGTTCAAAACAGGATGAATGGAACGCTCCCGAGTCGACTCTGATCTCTTTGCTGAACGCCATTGAACATGTCCTGGCACGAGCGCACGAGCGACTTCTGGTCGAGGAAGCCAGAACGCAGATTGTCAAGGGGCCAGACCAGCAGCCAGGATTCTTCGGCAACATGGTCTCGGGCGTTTTCAACTCGGACACCCCCCAAACAAGGAGCGCTACTGCGAATGATAGACTCACGGTGCATTTGGCTTTCCAGGATGCCGTCCGTATTTGCTTCACCATCTGGTCGTGGGGTCAAGGGAACGACGCAAATGCGCAGGACACGACCTCAGTTGCTTCCTTCAGCTACACATCCCTCAGAATGAGAAACCGAGCAAGACGGCTGCTTGAGCACCTCTTCGCAGCTGAGACCCTGGAATGTCTTGAGACCGTCATTGACATCTGGAGAAGCTCCATCAATATCACAACACCAGTGCCCTTGTCGGAAGTGTTCAACTTGTTGCCGGCTCTGGATGGTTCTCGGCCCAAACATACAATCCCTGCCATCTTTAATGCAATTTACAGCAGAACCAACCCTGGTGCCCTGGATGCGTCTCGGAAGTCAACTTTGACAACATCCTTACAAGACATCGACCTCGTCACCTTCTTGGTTGAGTACGCCCGCACCCTGGAAGATGACGCAATGGATGAGATCTGGCTCGACTGCATGGCCTTCTTGCGCGACTTGTTAACGAACCCGTTCCCGCACCGACAGACGCTACCGAGCCTTCTAGAGTTCGCAGCAATTCTCGGCGAAAAGGTGGACAACACCAACTTTGGCGAACAACGAAAGATGAGACGTGAACTTGGGGTAAGTCATGTGCGACAATGTATTAGCACGTTCGTCTTACTGACTTGGACTAGGACCTTTTCCTCCGGCTTCTAACCGCCATCTTCACCACCAAGCCCTTGACCTTTGCTGACACAGCCCCGTCATACGAGAAGTCCGACAAGAATCGTGATGGAATTCGTCGGACCACGACGATCTCACTGGTCAGCGTCCTCGATAGAGCCGAGGATGTGGTGGCTATCCTCGCCTCAATCGTCCCGAACCTTCCCAAGATCTTGGTCGAGACTGACCGTGTCTTGTCCGCGGCGAGCACCATCTCGACGAACGTCATTGGCCCAGCTTTCAGGGCAAAGGCATTCCCCGAGACCGTCTCGAAGAACACCCTGGATTTGCTTCAGGAACTGTCCAGGCTGCCAAGTAATCAGAAGACGTGGAAAAAAGACGTTAGCGATGCTTTCAACGATGCCAGGTTCTTCAACTCAAGCATCGACTTGGTGCGAAGCGACTGGTTGCCACTGCTGAGGCAGTGGACTGTCAGTGACAAGGAACGCATGCCCGAACTCCTGAGTCGCATGAGTCCTCCCACGACTGCTGGTATCGTTTTTGGTGTCGGAGCCACTTCTGCACGTCTCGAGGCAGACCGGAAAACACAACTGAACCTGCGCCGAACTGCCACGTTGGTGCTCGCTGCCAACGAAGATGCCTACGTTACGGAGCTTCCTCTCATCGTAGACAAGCTTGTGGAGCTTCTTGGTGCCACGGCAACGTCCTCGCCATCTTCTACAACACGTGCAGAGATTTACATGCTCATTCGCGCTCTGGTCCTGAAGACGAGTGCGGTGCACCTGGCAATGATCTGGCCAGTCATCAACGCCGAGCTCCACGCCGCGATCGCGTCTGTGGTCGCTGCCGACCACAGCACAGCATCGGATATGTACAATAACCTGTCGATTTTGCAGGCATGCAAGTTGCTTGACTTGCTCATCTGCGTCGCGCCTGATGATTTCCAACTCCACGAGTGGCTCTTCGTCACGGACACCATCGATGCGGTGTATCGATCAACAAACTACCAGCCTGTTGCCCTGGTGGATGAACTTTCAGAGGAGCTCGGGACCATGGGCATTAGTCTGTCTCTGCAGAGCACACCGGCAGCCCACCTGGCCGCGAGCAGCTCACACAGGCGCCCTCTTCTTGGACCGGGCGGCATCAACGACGAGGTCAGCATCGACAGGAAAGACGAGCTGGTAGGCAAGATTTTACGACCATTCTTCGGCCAGCTGAGCATCTTCGCGTTCGAGTCGACGTACGCGATGGCGCCGCTGGACCGAGAATTTTGCATTCAGGGGCTACTGAAGGATTTATTTGACGAACGTAGCGTGGTAAAGGCGTTGTAAAAGTAGGTATCATGTTTTAATCATCCCATGAAAGAGGGAGAAAGCTTAGCCCTGAATGAATTTCAAATTTTCCACGATTGACTTGGCGGCTTGAACGCCCCTGGTACGTACGCCACCATCGCCTTGCTCGCGCCCTCCATGCAATACTGCACCACCTCCAGCTTTTCCCCGTCCGGAGTCAGCTTCGCAATCTGCCTCAAGTCGCTCGTCCGTGGGAGGAATAGCGCATGGTCCATCGGCATGCACGCCTCGTGCAGCTGCTCCAGGTTATACGGCTCCATCTTGCTTAGGTCAAACACCTCTGCGCTGCGGTACCCCGGGCCGCCCCACGGCGGGCTCGCGAACACAACCGTCTCCTCGAGAGGCACGCGCAGCTCCTCGGCCAGCGCGCCGGCGGGATCTGTCTTGAGCTTGTTCAGGAACTCGAAGCAGTCGCCGTGGACCCAGGTGATGTAGTCGGCGACCTCGTAGAGCTCCGCGTTGTGCTGGGCGCAGGCGAGGGTGGCGGCGTCGCGCTCGATGGAGATGACGCGGTCCCAGCGGCCGGAGGCGGCGAAGGCGATGGTGTTGCCGCCGGCGCCGCCGAAGATGTCGACGAGGAAGCGCTTGGAGGGGTCCGTGTAGGACATGTCGTTTGCGACGGCGTTGGCGACGGGTTCCGGGGTCACGCCGAACCAGGCGTCGTTGGTGAGGTAGACGCCGTCGTCGTACCAGGAGAAGATTGAGCGGCGTTGGGAGAAGTATCTAGGGGACTGCGTTAGTTTTGATGATTGTACAGAAGAATGGGAGTTGAATACTTTTGGAGGTCCCAGGGCACTTCGGCCTTGGATTCATAGTGGTGGCACTCATCCGTCAGGGGAAGTCTGGCGGCTGCTTTCATTTTGATGGTGATTCATGAAGCACGGATCTTTCGAGCGCGTAGTATACAATGAAAATTTGAAACTGAACTTTTGATGGAGACTATCAGGTGTTGGGGCCAAACATGATCGTTTGAAAGTATCTTTTGGCCACTGAGGCCGTTGAAGATGAATGAGCGAGGCTGAGAGAAACTGCAATCCAGAACAAAAAGGCCCCACTTAGAGCGCCCCACTAAAGCGGGAAGAGCTTGGACCATATGCAAGGCTGACGATTGGCTCAGATTCCTTGGATGACAGCTTGCTCCAAGGGGAAATAACACATGGTTCATAGCTTCAAACACTTTCACGCGAATACTTTACCCAACTTTGCGGTCAGCAATCATCCTAAATCGACACCACCGAATTACAATAGACGAGATAGCTCAGCTCAAGTGCTGGGCGCAACACCATGTTCAATGCGCTGAACCGCTTCATGTCCCGCTTGGACGGGCAGCAACCAACCCAGCAGAACAACCAACAGGGCTCCTTCGGCTTCCAGGTTTTGAGGAACACGAACCTCGAGCTGAACGTGGAGCCTTGGTTTGACTTTATCATTGGAATCAACGGCCGTCCGATTGTAAGTTGAAGCCATATTCCCTTCTACCTCCTTCGCCAAGCTCTGCCTTCAACTCCGAAAACAAAACCACTAACACGACGAACACACAGGACAACCCCGACCCCCGCCTCTTCGCCCAGGAAGTCCGCAACTGCGCCGGCGGCACCGTCCTCCTCGGCCTCTGGTCCGCAAAGGGCCAGCGCACGCGCGAGCTCCACGCCCCCGTCCCGCACGACACCGCCTCCCTCGGCCTCTCCCTGCAGTTCACCCCGCTCTCCGTCGCCGCCAACATCTGGCACGTCCTCGACGTCGCCGCAAACTCCCCCGCCGATGCCGCCGGCCTGCTGCCCTACGGCGACTACATCCTCGGCAGCCCCGAGGGCGCCCTGCACGGCGAGGGCGGCCTCAGCGAGCTCGTCGAGGACCACATCGGCCGCCCCCTGCGCCTGTACGTCTACAACAACGAGTACGACGTCACGCGTGAGGTCACGATCCAGCCGAGCCGCGAGTGGGGCGGCGAGGGCGCGCTCGGGTGTGTGCTGGGGTACGGCGCCCTGCACCGCTTGCCGCCGCCGCTGAACGAGCCCGTGAGCGCCCCCGGGGAGATGATGTTCGACGGGGAGAAGGATCCTAGCGGCGGCGCGGCGTACGGTGCGGACGCGGGGCAGGCCTTGTTCACTCCGGCTGTCGCTGGTCTCGGGGGGCCTCCGCCGGCTGATCCTGCGGCGGGAGGAGAGTTTCTCGTGCCGGCGCAGATGGTTGACGCGGGCAGCGCGCCGCCGCCTCCGCCTGCGGGCACGGCGACGACGAGGAAAAAGAAGGACAGGCACCACGGGGGCAACGCGATGATGGACGATTACTTCAAGGAGCAGGAGAAGAAGAGCAGGGAGCTCGACGGGGTTTCGAGCGGTGGACGTGGGACGCCTGTCGCGCCGCCTCCGAAGACGGGGGGACCGCCGCCGGGGCCGCCTAGGGCCGGGACGGCGTCGCCGCCAAAGGAGAAGGAGGAGGGCGGTGAGGAGTGAGGTTTCAGGTACAAAAAGGCCGAGGGAGAGTGATTGCATAGAAATTAGACGTCGCGCGGGTACTTGGCATGATGATTCCCGGAATTGCATTTCTTTGTGCTTTAGTTATACGACGGTCTAACCCCCCGTGCTGTGATGCAACGCCTTGCTTCTGTAATGTACAGTTTGTATTCGTTCGTTTCCCGCATATTCATGACCATACGGCGGCTTGGCTGGGCTGTTCAGGCCTGCCTCAGATTCTCTCTTCTATCTCCCACACACGTTTTGTCACCCCCTGAGCAACCCCCTTTTGGATACCCATGGTGTTAATGGCAAGTCGATATCGACGCTTAGTTTATGAAGTTGACGCAGAAGAAGTGGAGGATCAAGCTGCATGCGACGTAGTCGGCGAACGCTCTAAGATTGACGTTAGCTTCGTAGAGTTGGTGGAAGTTGGGCGGGCTTACCTCTCGGGTGATACAGAGGGGAAGTCGGCCTTGTTGGCCTCGGTGGTCTGGATACGAAGGGAAGCTGAGAGGGTTTGTTAGACCATTGAATCGAGAGCGGGAAATATGCACTTTACGAACCAGTGAGGACGAATTGTCCAACGGTGGCAGAGAAGCCGGAGAGGAAGGCGTTAAAAGGCTGTTCACACAGATGTTAGCTAGCGTTCCTTGTCTCTAGTCCTCCCAAGTCCATTGACTTTCAACAATGACCCCAATGCCTGTCCAGAAACACAAGACCGAGTCCTCCAAAATCACAAAAGGGACCTAGACGTACGTAGTTGCCAGCGAGGACGCAGTACAGGAACTGCAGGGCGCCAACGGCGACGAGGAAGACCATGAAGACGTCGATGAGCTTGGTGCGCTGCGGGGTGTTGTTGACGTAGTGGTTGTAGATGTTGCCGAGGACCTTGTCCCAGTTCTGCGCACCGCTCGAGATCTTGGTGTTGGGGACAGCCTTGGGCTGGGAGGTCATGGTGCCCGGGATCGCGGCGGCGGCGGTCGGTCCAGCGGGCGCCGAGGGGGGAGCCGGGGCGGGCTCGGCGGCGGCGGCAGCGGCCTTGTTGGCGTTCTTCTTGGGCGCCATTGTTTTTGGTGTTCTCTCGTGTTGTGTCGTTGAATTCGAGAAGCGGTGGTAGGTAAGGACTGGGTTTCGGTTTCGGGGGTGGGAGGGTTCGTCGTGGGATTTTTGAGTCGCGGCGAGTTCGAGGTTTACGAATGCGCGGCCGCTACGAGTAGAGTGGCCTGGGAGCTGTGCTGGGGGAGCTGTCCTTTCGAGGACACGACAGCTTGAAGCCACGTTATCAGGTGATTGTGGCTGTGCGTCGGCTATCGGCAGGGGGTCAAGCCACGAATCTGGGGTAAGAGCTGGTCTCTTGAGGTGATTAGTCAGGCAGTGTTGTGCGGAATGGATGAGATCATCCCCTGAGCTGCACCTGGTGGGTGGGCGGCCGAAAGCTTGGACTCCCGAGGCACCGAACCACGTTGGAAGTTTCCCCCATCTTCTGCAGCACCGCGACGAACGACAACTAGCAAGCCATTTTATACCAATTGCTCTCTAAGGTTCACGAGGTTTTCAATTGCACGGTATTCCGACAGTAAATCAAATATTAGTCACAATGGTCCGTTGGCCATGTCAGAGCACAAAGTGGAACAACAGCTGACAATGCGCACAGGCTTCCGACCTGCAGACCCCCTCCTACGTCCTCGCCGTCCTGACTGCCGGCGGCGGCATCGCCGGCTATGCCCGGACGAAGTCCCTCCCCTCGATCATCGCCGGATGTGCCGTTGGATTCCTCTGTACGACATCTCTTTACTTTCCTCTGCTATTTCGCAATGCCTTTGGGCAATCGAGACAAGACCTTCGACTAACCAGGGAACAGACGCACTCGGCGGCTACCGCATCCAGAACCGCGAATCCTACGGCGTCGAGCTGAGTCTGCTTGCCTCCGCAGTCCTCGGCGGCTCCGCCATCCCCCGCGCCATTCGCCTCCGCAAGCCCGTGCCGATCGGGTTGAGTGTGTTGTCCCTTTTCGGTCTGTTGACCTTCGGCAGGGAGTTCAGTCGTAGCTTGTAAAGCCTTGCGGCGGTGGGAGAGGAATGAAATTGTACACTTTTTTGCTTTTCGTTCGCACATGGCCGTACACCGGTAGCCCTGAAGAAGAGAGAATAGAAAAGCATCTCTTTCCACTGGGCTTTCCGGGGCCCCAATCGTATTGTACAATATTACTCCCTGACAGGATGTACCTCCGAACCCGAGTTCCGTGCTCTTTTGTGAATATGCAACCTATCCCATGACGCCGAGCCCGCAATGAAGTTGTGATTGTCGCCCTGTATCATACAATGCTGCCGCCGTCGCCGCCCTCTCTTCGATTCGTGTCGTTCGATTCGCTCGTTTCGTTCGGCGTTTGGTTTCAATCAACCTAATCGAGACCGAGAGACTTGTTCAGCTCCTTGATCCTGTTCTCGCGCTCCTCCCTCTTGGCTCGCGCTGCTGCGCGGTTGGCCTCGGTGCGCCTCGCGCGCGCGCCCTTGAGGCACTGCGTGAGCTTGTCCTTTGCGTCGTTGCAGCCGCCGGTGGCCTTGTGCAGGAAGCCCCTGGCGTGGCATTCTTCGAGGGCGACCATGACGTCTTCGCACTCTGTTTGTCCGCGAGAGACTTCTGTCAGCATATCCATATCCTATTCAGGTGCTGCTGCGCAATGGGTTCGCTTTCGAAGGGTGGCGTGGGGATGGATTCCGGGGCAGGAGGGGTTCTATCGACTGACCGAAGTTGTCCTTGGTGTGCAGATGGGGATGCATGGCGGGCGACTGTACCGAGACTGGTGTACAAGATTACGAGACGTTCGGTCGTGTAGAGGGGTTGTGAATACTGGCACTGCAAGTCGTGATGCGAATGGCGCAAAAGAAATTCAACATGGAAAAGTGCTAATTGGAAGGCGAGGGATTGGATGAGACCACCGTCTAGTGGGGGGCGAGAAGCGGTTGGTTCGCCGTGCCGGGCTTTGATTGATTTTACGGGCGCCGCGCCGTGACCAGGGGGGCGGTGGGCACTGCGGTAAAAGCTCGGACCACTGCCTTCTAGAACTTCCACCGCAGTTGGTGCCAGGGTGACAGGCTCATTTCAGGCCCTCACTCTCACTGTCCTTCATCGACGACTCTCAACCTAATCATACGCGTATACATCGGCCGTCGCGCTGATCGGAAGTCTAGGTCAAGATGTCGGCGCCAGCAGCTAGCCAGCGGAAGCAGCAAGGTCAGTTCCATTTCCACGACGCAGAGGGTGCCCTGAGGCAAAGGCCAATGCATGGCTCCCAGGGTGCTGTGTGAATCAAACTTCACCCCGCCATCGGCCGTCCACATACTAAAACTACTTTTTTCCATCACAGATTTGCAAACGCAATATGGCATTTACAAGAACACGCTGCAGCAGATTGCGCAGAAGATTGGTGATGTCGAGCAAGAAGCCGAAGAGCACAAGTGCGTCTTTTCCTACTCTTTTCGCTCACCTGCCGTGTCGTTGCGATGGTTCCCCCTTGGTGTTCTTCATGACGGCAGGATCGCGGGGCAAGGCAACTACGTCGTCCGGGGGTGTATGAACTCTCCTTGAAGCCCGGGTCCTGGTCGCCACGCACACCGCTCCTCATCAAGACCCCCCTTGAAAGCAACATGGCATCTACACATATCACACCGCTTGTTACATCATGGGACAGATATGAGAGAAAAATGGGCAGAAGAATCATGCTGACGGGGGAGAAAAACAGGCTCGTACTAGAGACGCTGCAGCCGCTATCTGGGGATCGCAAGGCCTTCCGCCTGATCAACGGCGTGTTGATGGAGCAGACGGTCAAGGACGTCCTGCCGGCGCTGACGACCAACTCGGAGGGCCTGAAGAAGGTCCTGGAGGACTTGGTCAAGCAGTACAAGACGAAGCAGGATGAGCTGGAGAAGTGGAAGGTATGTGTTTTCTGGCATGGAGCCACCAGCCCACTTTGATTTTTTCGGGTAGGCGACGTCATTGAGGAGCTGTTTGCTGACGGCTTTGGGGTTACAGAAGAAGAACAATGTCCAGGTTGTCCAGAACTGAGACCCTGAGGATATGCTAGTCGACCGGCGGGCTCTGTAGGTTGGCACTCTGTCTCGGAGGCCTGACGACCGTTATTTGCCAAAGTCGTGCCAGGAAGGACTGGTTGTCTCACACTGGCTCGGGGCAGTAGCTCTTCACGTCTGAGCTTCCGATGCTGAGCTGTCGTTGCATGCTACAAGAGACCATGAGATGTGAGATGTCTCGACACGTTTGCAAGATGAAAGAATGAGGCTGCAACACGCTTGTTGCGAGCGAGATTCCCATGAAAATACGACAGTTCTCGGGAGATGTCATCGTGATGGAGGCCGTGTTGGTGGTGTAGTGATAGCAATGCGTTGTACAGCGCCATAGGCACACACAGACGCAACAAATGCAGCCCGGCGGCAAGGGCGTTTCAGTGCCCAACAGTATTATGTCCCAAAGGTCGTCAGACGAACACACCACCTACTCGAAGGTGACATGCAGGTGGTAGTTGTTATGGCTGGCTGACAATACCCCGATTGACGAGGCGTGCTGACTGGCTGCGTCTCATGCGGCCCAGTAATGGTGGTGTGGTCAGGTCTTCTGGAACGGCAGTTCGTCAGCTCGGGCTAGTAGGTCATCCAGACCTCCCCTTCCGCACGTCAGCGCCGGGTCATGAGAGGACTGCGACGCTGCCGTCTTCTCGTCGGAGGAGCGGGCGGGGGTGGAGGCGACGGACCGGCCCATCCGGCCGAAGATGCTTTTGCCCATCGGTACGTCAGGCGCCGATCAAGACTTAGCCACAGAATGGCGGAGGCATCCGATTCGTATTTGCCGAGAGATGAAACGTGACGACTGCGATGATGGACTGATTTCATCTTGGATGCTCCCGGGGCGTGATATCATGCGTAATCTGGAAGCCGCGGCTGAGTTCCGTCGCCGGTGCCCAACAGATGGTACGCAGTTAGATGTCTGCATGAGGGGGCTAGATGTGGGAGGCATCCCGTAGGCTACATCCACCCCGCCAATTCACGGTACGATTTAGTGAGATGCATCCTGCAAGTAAAATAGCAACCGTGTTGTAGAGTGGGCTGTCCGTATTTTTGGATTGCCTATTATGGCCAAAGTCGCGGATGGACCGCATCAAAGACTGCTCGTCCGGCTGGCAAGATCCCACCTCCATGGCGCGCCCGGCATCGCCTGTGATGGCAGATGTGTGTCATGCCTAGCGAGATGCTCCAAGATGCAATAGGAATTGTTCCATTTTCTCGCATGTTATGACGATGATGCCGTCAGGCAGTCATCGTTTGAGAACAGGCAGGGCGAGGCACACCGGTTGCATCTCGGCGACGTTGTGGACGACCGGGGGTTGTAGAGATGTGGCTCTGAGTTGTCAATGTCTCCAGGATGAGAGAAGCGCAGCCAACTCATGCAACCATTACGGCTGTGACAGAGTCGAATTCACCCGCAGAGGCGAGGGAAGACCGACTGTGGTACCCCTCTCGAGAGCGACAAAAAGGCCGTTGGAGGAGGGGTGGAAACCGCATCATCCGGACAAGGGTTGTGGAAAACCAGAGAAGAAATCAGTGCATCGGATATGGTGGTCTTTTTAGATAGATGCGGAACGCAGAAGCAGACGCAGAAGCAGACGCAGATGATGCTGCAAAAGTCGTCCAATCCCAGCCCAACCCAATTAGAGGGCTATTGGCTCCCGACAGAATTAAAGGAGCCCAACCATACTCGTCGCAGTGCCTAGTGACTGTGGTGGACCACTGGCTGGGCCAGGCGGGTTGTCTGTCTGTCCATTACTGCATGCAGGGTCAGACGTAAGGCGATGGGCCGCCGATAGGTGACCGGCGCTTCGCCGCGGGCATTGGAAGAATTTCTCCGTGTTGTCGTTGGCACAAACGGCCGCAGACTGAACGGCTTCTGACGTATCTGGGGGATTTTGTGCCAATCAAGAAAACAGGAAGCTATCGGTATTTTTTATTGGCCGAGAAAGCTCGAATCGAGCTTGTGTCACGCAGCCTCGCGCCCAA